TCATTTTTCTCGTGTCATCACCTCTGTCTAAACCCTGCGCCAACAGGCATTTTTATGCTCAGAAAGTTGTTTTTGCATTTATTCAACGCTTATTCCAATTATGCCTGAGAGGCTAACCCAGCCCAGACCGAAATGGCTTCTTAACAACTCTGTAGAAGAACTGCATGCAGCCGTGAGATAATGCAATACTAATATTCTGCAATGTCATCGAAACATGTCATTCGTTAAATATTCGCACTTATAGTAACCTGTGTTACTCTTTAAAAAATAAGGCATAATATGAGGAAATATAAATACATATTCTTTCCGCTTGACCTGTCTAGCTTTCTTAATCTCCAGACCAATATTTTTTGCTCTCTTGCATAGCCCCTGTTAATCTTCTCTCTCCTACCTCATGGCGACCCTTGTTTGCTCGCTGTACGATCTGACAAAATAACTTCCGATATGTTGTGGCTTTCTGTTCCTTGTTTGCGGCTCGTACCAGCTGTACGTTTCTCCGCCTTCATATCCTTTTACGTAGTCCCTTCTGCATTTACATAGCCATCGATTTATATTTAGAGTATCCCCTATTGATCGAATTCTAGTACTTTCTCTTCCGCCAACTATCTGTTCTTAGTACTACTTTCAAAATTTTAGAGATAATTTTACGTCGGATTGTTTTACCTTCTCTCTGCTTAATTTTCGGTATAGGCCAATCTTTCATCCCGTAATCGTCCGGACTCAAGTTAAGACCCTGCTCCAACTATTTGCTAGGAGGCAAGTAAACGGAAAACTGTTTTGTTTAAGACAGCATGCACGATGTCTTTGGGACCATCGTGCCGGTAGAAGGATGATTCGATTTCTTGTATATTTGTTCATACCGTACTGTTGCTCGGTTATAAATCGTATTACTGCATATCGTGCCCATACACAAGTTGGCCTATTTGGTGCGCGATGTGTCCCGCCTGGTCTTTGTCTATTTTTCAGCTTGCCTGCCTAGCCGTCCTTTCCTCTCAATGGAAGTGTTGGTGCTGATGTTGCTGCTAGCGATGGCAGTTGTAGTTTTTGGGCTTTCGCTCCGCCCTCCCCCGACCTCCACCGGGTTCTCTTTCTCTATGTTTACGTTGAGTTCGTTGCCCACCCCCACACTGCTCGTGATGCTAGTTCTGCCGCTGCAACTCCTCAGCTATTGCTGCTGTGTACCCACTCTGATACGGTTTCCTCTTCTCCTTCCATGTAGCGTTCTCTCTCGCCTTCTCTGCCAATACGTTGCTGTCTATATGTTAATTCGAAGCGGTTTCAAGAGAGAGAAGAAGTGTGGATGAAGGGGTAATGCCGAGGGGTTAGGGGGTTATGGAGTTGTGTTTGGCTCAGCGGGAAATGCATTGGAGGAAAGCGAGCTCTTCGAGGAGAAGGGAGCATACCAACGGCAGGGTGGCTGCAGCCAGCAGCCTCTCTGTTCAGCGAGTTTCCACTGAGGTTCTGCTCCTGCCGCCCCTGCCGCTATTCCTACTGCTACCAGTGGTGCTTGCCACTCCGCTGTCGTCGGCGGTATTCAGCGCTTTGTCTGATGTGTTGTTACGCCCGTGGCCGCGCCACTCGCTGATGTCTCCTCGACTGGTCCCTCTGTTGAGGGGTTGTAGATAGTGCAATGGGGCTACACGGATGCCAAACGCTGTCCCGCCCGTTAGATGTTTGCTGTTAGAATTCATATATACCCACACACGTACGAATATGCGAAGGTTAGTGTGAGTTTTAGGACGAAATCTTTTCAGCGCGTACTACTACAGTTTTAGGTTCTGCAGTTGTTATGGAGAACTAAGAAGACCTACAAATACAGTCCATGAATGCAGAACGACGATTGCCAATATTTAATAGACTGTCTTTTCCTGGAGAAAGAACCCGAGTTAATAAAGGCGAAGAACGAGGTAAGCTTCAGCCTATAGGAACAATTGAGGTTACTGATGTGCTGCGCGTAGGGATGCTGAATTGAACGTGTGACAGCACCAACAATGAGACGCCTACGTTGTAGCGGCGAGAGACGAAATCAGTGACAAGTGCCTATAGTTTTAAATGCTTGCGGTTGACGTGATAGTCATTTATTTGATGGAACTGACGCATTACACGAAGTCGAAATGACTCTAGAAACTAAAACCGAACCCTATGGTGCTATAAAGTGTCTATATGTTTCGATATATCTCTGTACGTGCGTAGTCGTCCTCTCGTTCGCAATGCTTTAGGCTCGTTTGTGATACCCGTCGATGTGTGGGCGTGTGCGTATCGGTGACTCTATGATTGAAAAAAAGACGATACAGTATTAATCAAAATAATAACAAGACGTGAAAAGGAATATGCTTCGAAGCAAGACTATATTTGTTACATACGCACAAATGGGTTATGGGTAATAGCAATAGAATATGATGTCATGGTCAATTATTTATAGTCGGACCAAGTATAAAATTCGCAAGAACTAACCGTTATAGCAGACAAAACTCTGATTGATTTTTATCGTAGAACAGTACGAGATTGAGCATTAGTTTATCTTTAGCGTGACTAATTCACTTTTTTCTTTCAGATTTCGAACACAAACATCCTGTAGACATACTTCTGCAAGGCTTGTCAGCAGCGGTTCATTAGAAGTCCTTAGACTGCATCACACAGCTTGAATAAAATATACGTTGTTTTTAAAATAAATGTAATTAAACCAACCAGCTTAGGGGTTATTGTTAACATAGCATATTTGTCCCTGCAATGGTCCTTGCATGATTTTCGCGTATATTTGCTTGTGCTGGTGAGAGGCTGTATCGACCTGAAATACTAATTAGATGAGCTACCCACAACAATCATTTGACGTAAGCGTTGCTTTTGTCTTTCCAGCTGCTGCGGAGTTTATGTTATTCACAGAAGGAATTCTTAATGGGTTGCACGGAACTCCTTTTGAAGAAGCTCTCGAGCAGGAGACCAGTGGACAAAGCACGCAGCGTAGAGTAACCCATAAAAACATTAAATACCTCCTCGATGGCAATCATGTCTGTTGTTTGTGTGGTTATAAATCGGTAAACTCATCAAATGTCGTGTATCACGTCAGGTACGATATTGCTTGAACTGTAAATCTCACAGTATGTTTTCTATGATCGTTTTTTGATGTCAATGAGTATATAATGTCCGGTAGATTTTCTTCTACGTATTGCTTGAGATAAAAAAACGGATGCGTTTTATGTGAAACACTAGTTTCAAGGATTATATCAATAGAAATAAGTTCCAACTTTTTTACTTTGTCCTAACAGTTAGGAAAGTGAAAATCTATGTTCATCGTTATAGTCCCCGTTGCCCTCATTTTGACTGTCTAAATTTAAAATTAGTTCATATTTTATTACCATCGTTACTATTTCAGGTCTAGGCATACAGGCCATCGTCCTTACGGCTGTCCCCGTTGCGACTTTCGCAGTTTTAGGCGCGGACGCGTCAAGGAGCACATGGTTCGCTTGCATGGGCTAGAAGAGAGTCTCTGCAACAGCAGCGTTCGCGTTTACCCTGATCCCTAGCCAATCCAACACACACCTCACAACGCCTCATCTGCGGCTTGAAATGAGGCGTAATTATAAAACAACCGATCGCCGACGCCCCGCCACCTGGACAGAGCCTGTTTCGACGAGTGCGCAATGGTATCCACAAGGCAAACAAGGCATAAGCCGAACTCCTTCGAAATGACTTTAAATTAACGTGTTAGCAACGAGAACGTGGTTCAATGGTCCAGTGTAACTCGCTGTTTTTTTATCAGCACAATTGCTAATTTAGTAAGCAATGAGAGGAGTCTGCATAGAGATATTTGTACGTATTGAGGACTTTTCTGCCACTGATTAGAAATTAAAGGTGAAGCTTTGGCAAGTGATGCACTTGTAATGGTAATGATGACACAGTTCGGCATTTTAATGCTCGGCCGGCAGCGAACCCAACTTAAATCTACCCTAATGTACAGATAACGCGCAACAATGTACATACAGAACAGTTTTTATTCATTTTTATTCTTCTCTAGATATGACCCGCCAGTATTTGTCCGCGTCTGACCACGAGAGTCTGATCTGTGCGAGTGTTGCTGTGTCGTTTTGAGCACATCCGTGCTACCTCACAGACATCGTTGCGTTTTGTCCATTTGTCTTATGTATACAAAAAAAAACTTAATGCGCTCTACTTACAAATTACAAGTTTGCCGACATTTCTCTTTCTGTATATACTATTTAAATCCAACTCATATCATTTATAGCAACACACGCATTTAAGTTTAACGCTTAATACGCTCAAATTATAATGTTTTTTTATAATTCACTTCATTGAAGACTCAATCCTAAATACGACATACGGATAAACATCAGTAGGACCATTAGACTGAATCAAAACAAGCATTTCAGCAGCCAAAAGTCGTAGATGTTACACACAAAGTCACAATTGGGGTAAAAGGAAGACCATGTATTTTTACCAGCTTTACTCAAAATCGCTTCATACCTTTGACTTAGTGGCAGCACCCAAATAACGGTATGTTCCCAAATAACTGGTCCATATTTTTGGTGGCTTCCTTTATCCCCTTTGTTCTCATTCGAATTCAGTATCATTAAACAATGTATCTACAAATACCTATCGATACCAATACATGAGCATGTCGAATATATAGACAGAGTAAACGATCCTATTAATTAGTCTTTTCCCATAGACTGCACGCCTTATGAACGCTCCCATGAGAATGCCTTGAGCCATCGACTGATGCACCAGAACGGGTTTTCAGCACCAGGCGATTCGTCGATGAGATCACTGTGCGAGATCAAGTGAAGTGCGATGTTACACAGCAGAACGAGGCAAATGTGATGTGTGTGTACATGTATCGTATCGAATTAAGAGTTTTTTGATAAAGCGATATGCTATGTCGCTCTGGTTTGTGGTTTATTATGAGATTTATTTACACGTCTGCGTACGATAGTGAATCTCACACGACGGCGATGATGATAAGGGTGGCAAAAGCGCGGGGGAACGAATTCTCGTTGGATATTTTTGCTAGTCACTCACACTCTTTCCGTCTGTATGATTTGTATGCTGTTGTACATAATATGAAACACATAGGAATTATAAACAATATTATATACGAAGAGAGACGGAGAACGATGAATAAAGAGGGGGTTTGGAGATGTACGAAAAACATATGAACACACACAAGTATTCATAATAAGATAAATATATAAGAACGGCGATAGAAAAAGAGTCATATACATAGGCGTATTAAATATGATAAATATTGCTATTATTCTTATTATTATTATCCCTCTAAAAGTCCCCAGTTGGTGTACTACGAAAAAAAGATGTGGTCACAAAAATGTAATGAAATAAATCGGGGAGAATTTATACTTCTCACCGATCATTGTAGTCGAATCAAATTATTGACAATGAAGCAAAAATACTGATGAAATGAAATGCTAGAAAGATGAATTTAAACACAAGAACAACAGCCCCAAAAGGCCTCTGTTGTAGAGAACAAATGCGCTTAACAATCAGAAATCGGTGTTTGCCGATCACCATAATTTATGTAATATTATTTCACAAGTTATCATTCAAATATCGCATAATGTGAGAATTGTTAACAATGAGTACGTACATAAAACAAACACATAAATAAGTTTTATCCCGATTAACTGCAATATAAGCGGTATAGGCTAATAAAACGTATTGTGCGGCATAAAGGCGAACATGAATAGCTTCACCGCAATACGCATCTACGTTATTACAGCGATGTCTACAAATTTCTATCAGAAAAACGAATAAATCTCCTTCAGATCTGCTGGTCGGAACAACTGAGGAGAAGGCTCAAGTTGTCGAACAGCAACGACCGGTATTGATATACGATTAAGTTTCTTAGCAAAATACTGAATCATTTACCGTTTTGATTTTCTCCAGTATAAAATCAAGTATTGTAACATCCCTTAACAGTGTTAAGTGGAAACCAACTGACATGAATAGAACATTTGGACTGACTGCGTACTTCGGTGGGTTTTTTTTGTCAATAATTAAACTATGCCACCGATAACGCCGAGCCGGGCGTCTACTATACCGAGACATAAAGAAGTTAGACCGGTGCCATAGCGAGTATGTGCAATCCCGTCTTGTTATTATAATGTGACGCGTTGACAGTATCCGTTATGACGATCAATAAAAGAACGAAAATGGATATGAGATTCGTAATAAAGGATAAGAAGAAAAAGGGATAGTACTAAATAGATAAATGTGTGCTATTTTCTTATTTCTAATTATTATGTCTGTATAAATATAGAAACGTTAGCAGTGTCAGTGGTGTGGTCGGTTAATGTGGTAACGTAGTGGGGTATTCTGGGTCACGGTTTCCTTCTATGTATATTACAGAGATATCTTAATAATAAAATAATTTCGATTCATTGTAACTTTCGTGAGCAAAATATGTTTGCTAGTACAAATACATCTGCATGAAAATATCGCATTTATTTTTTTCAATCTTTAACAAACTTTTAAGAACTTTAACAAACATTTTTCTTTATATATATTTATATCTATATTTACAGTAACTGTAAAAATGCTTCAACTTTTATTAGTAGTAGTTCAGAATTTATTTGATATTTAATTTCAATTAGCTTTTGTCAACAATCTGAGAATATGCATTATTTGATACTTTGAATAGCTGATTTGTGTTTCTATAAAAGAAAACCTCTTTTAAGATCTAAAAAATATGCCGACTCCATGTTATTGAATCTTCAAGAACTACCTTGTTTGGTATTCAAAAATGCATGTCTCAGAGCTAGATTAGTCTGTTCCGTAAAATAGTGTCCTTGCTAACGCATATTTTTTTTCTATTAGAGGCAGAAAAATTGCTCCCTAGGCAACAATATTACAACAATGTAATTCACACTCCATCAACACATATGAGTGTTGCATGACAGGAGCAAGCAGGCACACCTCACGGTTCCCGTAGCAGAGCCCAGAAATATTCAGGTTATGTAGTACTCCGACCCAGTATTTGGCTACAAAAAATATATATAAACGCTGCTTATTTTTCCACAAAAGCTCTTCCATTATTTAAAACAGGGGGTTCCTCGTTTCATATTTGGCGCGTAAAACGCCACCTGGTGAGCACCACATGAACTAAATACATTATCACCACAACGGTTATACAAACAATATTTACAACACTGGATTCATTGGAAGAGGTGCTATAGCTCGTTTCGGTGTGCGACATTCGACTATTATTTGCATTTAGCTACCTTTTTGTGTAAAAAAAGGGCGTGATTTAAAATTTTTTTTGCTTAACAGGCACCGAATTCGTCGGCCAAGATGTATGAGCCTGAGGAAGGTTAGTTAGCACGTTATCAATGTGTTTTCACAGTGTTTTGAGGATATCGTCGATTAGATACGGTGATGTCGCTGGCGCTTTCTATAACGTTCTGTCGGTATGAGAGCGTTAAGAAAGTACAGAGCTGAATAAATGTGACCATATTGAAATTCGACTTGATTTTGAAAATGTCGCGGCTCATACCTGACATTATTTGAAAAGTGTGCACACAAGAAGGTTAACTTCATAAGTTTTTCATAGAAGAAGAACACATCGACTAAAAAAAAACACATCCTAAATATGATGTTTACGTTGTTAGTTTTAGTTAAATGAAAAATATTGTATCGAAAACATTCAGTTGTGTGTTAACTAAGGTATAGGAAATTTTATTCTATAAATTCACAACTACATGTGAATTGCTTTTCCGTTTACCGTACAGTATTTGTTTCTTTGCCAGGTTATTATGAGCTCACACACAACTAGAATTTTGCAGAGAATACCTTAGTTCAAATAGATATTAAAGAAATCTTTATAGTACTTTGTATGAAATGCGCAATACCAGTGGATACAAAGAAACGCTTAGGCTGGGAATTTGCTCATCATTTGTGGAACAATTGTAGTTCTATAAAGTCAAAAAAGTTCGAAATAAAGTTAAAGTCAGAATTATAACCTAATGGTCAACTTACCACTTCTGCCTATTTTGTTTAAGTCTTGTTTCACTGAAAACAAAAAATGTCATATGATTTATCAGAAACGTGTGTTGACCAACCCGTAGCAAGCCTTACTAATATCGCATATATAATCAAATGAATATTTCAACCCGCACTATGGTTGCTGGCTAGAAAATAATATGAAGCTCTCTTAGACTAGGATCTAATATAGTCACATTGGAACGTACCCTGTGTCGTGAAAAAGAGCGCTGACATGTAGACGACAGTTTAGTTGCTAGTACTGGTGCTTTATGATGCAGACTGTGTTGTTGACAGTTTCATCTGTTATTATGTGATTGTCTCTATTCAAATAGAAATGGAGGAGGAGGATCCTGATGAAATAACCGCAGATCTCTGGCAGGAAGCTTGCTGGATTGTTATTTCCGCTTACTTTGATGAAAAGGGTTTGGTTCGACAGCAACTGGACTCGTTTGACGAGTTCATCCAGATGAGCGTGCAGAAGATCGTCGAAGACACTCCACCCATTGACCTACAAGCAGAAGCTACTCACTCATCAGGTGAAATCGAAACTCCAGTACGTATGCGGAACGATCCCGACAATCTTTTCAAAATTGAACAGCTTGAGAAAACAAAAAATGACAATTGTGATGGATTCAGCAGAAACTTATTGTTTAATATGATACTTGTATAAATTACTGAAGCTCGTGGTAATTTTTTCTTGTGTAGCCCCGTTACCTGGTCAAATTCGAACAGATTTATCTGTCAAAGCCGACTCACTGGGAAAAAGATGGTGCGCCAACGCCTATGATGCCTAACGAGGCGCGACTCAGGAACCTTACGTAAGTTTACTTATCTTTAAATTTGATAATTTAAACATAGGCAACATAAACTGTATTGTATAGAATTGTATGCAAAGGCCTTACACAGATTGGAAACGTAGATATTAACAGGCACCGCTTAGCGACAAATTTCAATAAATAATAAGCAACGAGTGAGCTATGATATAGCGATTTGCCCAAACAGACATTAAGTTTCAATTTCGAGAATTACCCTTTAGCACGTAATAATTTGTCCAAAAACATGCGGTGGGATACTTTTGAGTGGAGGTTACTATATATTATTTGCGCATTTTATTCAAATATGTGTACGAACTCAAAATAATTAAACACTTTAGTGGAGCGCATAAGATCTTATTTAGCCTATCAAGTCTCACGTGCAATAGCTCGACTGTACAAGTGGCGTAATAAGCCGAAAGCCGCTCACAGAGATAAACATTTCCATCATTATCATAATAATGATTCACCTCCTTGTTCTTCTTGGTCAGTTCAGGGTTACTGTTATTGTTTATATCATTATCATTGCGGACGACAGAAATAAAGAACGGCAGTCGCCTCTTACCCTTTCTATGTGGCACCTTTGTGGTACGAGAGTGGTTGGCGCCAAAAGGCGCCTTTTAACGCGATCGCCAGATCGCTTGCGCGCCATAAGCGGCTGCAGATTGACGTGGGCCATTTAAGTTTTGCGGACTTTTAATAGTCCGGTCCAAATTAAATCAAAACCGCAGCTGAGGCTTTGCGTTTTGCATAATAAATCATTAAACAGTTACTGCTGAGTGTAAAAATGTCTGGTTTTGACAATGCCGGTGTATTCTACTCCGACAATTTTGGCTCAGAGAGTACGCCCAATGAACAGCAGGTCAACTACCAGGCCATCAAAGGGCGATTTCGTGAGTTTCTTCGCCAGTTTCACGAAGACAATTTTAACTACCGTTATCGTGATCAGCTAAAGCAACACTATAATTTGGGTCAGTTCTGGATCGAAGTGCAGATTGAGGATATTGCAAGCTTCGATGAAGTTCTTGCCGACAAGTTGGCCAAGCAGCCGGCCGATCATATTGCTTTGTTTGAGGAGGCGGCGACCGAGGTCGCCGATGAATTGACCCGGCCACGACCAGAGGGCGAAGAAGAGGTTCGTGACGTGCAGGTGATGGTTGTAAGCGGAGCCAACCCGGTACAGATGCGCGACCTCAAATCCGACGAGGTGGCTACTCTGGTCAAGATTCCGGGTATAGTCGTCGCGGCCAGTGGCGTGCGCGCTAAAGCAACTAAAGTGACGCTTCGATGCCGAAGTTGTCAACAGACCGTGCCAAACATTCCTCTCAAGGCTGGACTGGACGGTCTCCAACTGCCCAGACGGTGTTCATCTGCTGAGCAGGCTGCTGCCACCGGCGCGCAGCGTTGCCCCCTTGATCCCTACTATATCGTACCTGACAAATGCAAGTGCGTCGACTTCCAACTGATCAAGCTGCAAGAGGCACCAGAGCAGGTGCCCTATGGAGAGATGCCTCGTCACCTGCAACTGTATGCGGACCGGTCCTTGTGCGAACGTGTAGTACCCGGAAATCGCATCACAGCTATTGGCATCTACAGTTTGCGAAGTGGTTCGGGCGCTAAGCGAGAGGGAGGCAACGAGAAGAATGTTGGCCTTCGTTTTCCCTATCTGCGTGTCGTCGGTTTGCTCATTGACTCGGAGGAAATGAGTGGCGCTCAGTCGCGCACCTACACACCTGCGGAAGAAGAGAAGTTCCGAAACATGGCGGCTTCAGACAATATCTACGACCGTTTGGCCAAAAGTATTGCGCCTTCGATCTTTGGAAGCGACGATGTCAAAAAGGCTATTGCATGTTTGCTTTTTGGAGGCAGTCGTAAAAGGCTTCCTGACGGTCTGACCCGCAGGGGAGACATTAACGTGCTGCTTCTCGGTGATCCTGGAACGGCAAAGTCGCAACTGCTTAAATTTGCTGAGAGAGTAGCCCCAGTTGCGGTGTACACGTCCGGTAAGGGTTCATCAGCCGCTGGCCTCACTGCATCGGTAATTCGCGACCCTCAAACAAGGAACTTTGTCATGGAAGGTGGAGCTATGGTACTTGCTGATGGAGGTGTTGTCTGTATTGACGAGTTTGACAAAATGCGCGAAGACGACCGTGTCGCTATACACGAGGCAATGGAGCAGCAGACTATATCTATTGCGAAGGCTGGTATTACGACGACGTTGAATACACGCTGTGCGGTACTGGCAGCAGCTAATTCGGTGTTTGGCCGTTGGGATGACCTAAAGGCCGACGAAAATATTAACTTCATGCCCACGATTCTGTCGCGTTTCGATACTATTTTCATTGTTAAGGATTTACACGACTCGGCTAAGGATAAGACTTTGGCTCGACACGTTATGGATATCCATTTGAACTCGACGTCAGCGCAACCCACTAAGCCCAAAGACGGAGAACTGGACCTTCATACACTCAAGCGTTATATCGCATATTGCCGTGAAAAATGTGGACCCCGGCTAAGTGCCGAGGCGGCGGAAAAACTTAAACACCGTTACGTAATCATGCGCAATGGGGCCAAAGAACACGAACGCGAAACGGAAAAGAGGTCATCTATTCCGATCACAGTTCGGCAGCTTGAAGCCATTATTCGAATTAGCGAGGCGTTGGCGAAGATGCAGCTATTGCCATTTGCTACCGAACGTCAGGTCGATGAAGCACTACGGCTCTTCCAGGTGTCCACCCTCGATGCTGCTAATTCTGGTGAGCTTCAGGGCGCTGAGGGCTTTACAACTGACGAAGAATACCAGATACTTAGTCGTATCGAGCAGCAGATCAAGAAGCGATTTGCTATTGGAAGTCAGGTGTCGGAGCAGACCATTATTCAGGATTTCACGCGACAAAAGTTCCCAGAACGGTCAATCTACAAGGTGCTGGCATTAATGATCCGACGAGGGGAAGTTCAGCACCGCATGCAAAGAAAGATGTTGTACCGGCTGAAGTAGAAGGATTATAAGATAACATTTATGTTATTATTATTGTTATTATCATTTTGGCCAATCATGTATTAGGTAGCCGGTCAAAAATCACCTCCAAGCTTAGGGGTGATATCGGCTAATATGTAGAGTAAGGTGGACTATTATTTTATTTCGGCCATGAAGTGCTGTGCTATATTATATATGTAAATGTGTGCTGTATAAATAAATGTGATATCATGTATTGAAATTCATTGGCGCGGTCTTTTGGACGATTAAATCTTGTGTTGAAAGAGGCTAAAGATCTCTGCTCTAAGTCCCGCCGATGACAAAACTTGCATGAACGGAAAAAAAGTTATTTTACATTAGAATTTCTTACATTTTGAACATATAGAAATTTGTTTTTGAGGAGTAAACTCTGATTAACACTAAAAGGCCATTAAAAAACTGATACTTTTGTTTGTGTTTAGCATGGCTTGTATCCTCCTTCGTGACATTCGCCTTGGTGGAATGAAAATGATATTGAACAGTAATGTGCTCTCATTATCAATGAGATATTCGTAATGGCAATATAGATATTAAACGTTCAGATCTAACAGGCTGTGCATTATGGAATAAGATGCCCACGTTGAAACGTTTAGACCGAAAACGTTTGAAAGTAAACGTTTTATCCCGTCTTGTTTAGACTATATAGCGACAAGAATAGTTTAACAATAAATACCAGGTGGAATATAGCGTTACTTTCGTTGTATGGGTTACGGTGAGATGTTACAGTTTAGATATTGAACCATCTAGGATTGTAGAGCATTATAAATGCGTAATTTTCGAAGAAGTCAATCAGAGTAGATTCGCTGAGGTCGAACAAAACGACATTGTCGTTATATCGACCCACGTTTCATACAATGTATTTTATGCGATGTTTAATAAAGTTAACTAGAATCGGGCACAGACTACAACAACTATAGTTGTTCATTGTGGGTGTTTTCCATAAAAATTTTCTACCACAATGCAACAAGGTTAGGTTATTTACGATGCTATGGAAGTATGTATGTGGATCAACTATGCTTGCTTATTGTGTATCTCACACAACTATGTGCAAAATGGTAAAATTCTTATAGTTTCGGTTGAAATTACATTTTATAGTCTTTATGCTAGAAGGGCAGCTTGACACGAGTTACATTGCCTCTTAGTAAACAGTGCTTCGACGATAACAAAGCTACATAAGCTGAGATGTCGCCGTTAAGTACTGCACTAAAATTATATATCCTTTTTGTATACTGTCATGACTTTCCTACCTATTTTCGCGTATATTCTATTATCAACCATGTAACATGTTTTTACTCTTACATCCTGATTCACAGTTACTCAGCTCCCCTGTACGTGGACATAACAAAGACTGTAATCCGCGAACGTGAGGATCCCATCGAAACGCAACACCAGAAGACGTTCATTGGCAAAATTCCTATCATGCTTCGATCGACGTATTGTCTTTTGTACTCGTTAACTGATCGAGATCTGTCCGAGCTGAACGAGTGCCCTCTGGATCCCGGCGGGTACTTCATTATCAACGGCTCAGAAAAAGTACGCTATTATGGCTGTTGCTAATTCTGCAAAGGGGTCGTTTACCACTTATGTGCCTATACGCGATAAGAGGTGATGTGTTGATTAAAGAATAGGCAGATTTACTTTTCATTTGATTTACACTTTAGTCGAAGTTTTTTTTATTAACTGAACAGGGTGCTTCGCCTTTTACCACATTACCGACCAGATGAAGACAATATATGAACGCGTCTTGTTGCTTAATAAGGCTAATTATAAATTTTGTTATTTGTTAATGATCATCAGGTATTGATAGCCCAGGAGAAGATGGCCACGAATACAGTCTATGTGTTCCAGATGAAGGACGGCAAATACGCCTTCAAAGCAGAGTGTCGATCGTGTATTGAGCACTCGTCTAGGCCGACGTCCACATTATGGGTTAATATGATGGCTAGAGGAGGGTCAGGTGTTAAGAAAGCTGCCATCGGCCAGCGTATCATTGCTATTCTGCCTTACATCAAGCAGGAAATCCCAATAATGATCGTTTTCCGAGCTCTTGGCTTCGTTGCTGATAGAGATATTCTCGAACATATCATCTATGACTTTGAGGACCCTGAAATGATGGAAATGGTTAAGCCGTCACTGGACGAAGCATTCGTCATTCAAGAGCAGAACGTGGCTTTAAATTTCATTGGTGCCCGAGGTGCTCGTCCAGGCGTTACAAAAGAGAAACGTATCAAGTATGCAAGGGAAATTCTACAAAAGGAAATGTTACCCCATGTGGGAGTCTCGGATTTCTGTGAGACGAAGAAAGCTTACTATTTGGGCTACATGGTACACAGATTGCTGTTAGCGGCTTTGGGTCGACGAGAACTGGATGACCGTGATCACTATGGTAACAAACGGCTGGATTTGGCTGGTCCTTTAATGGCGTTTCTCTTCCGAGGTTTGTTTAAAAATCTAACGAAGGAAGTGAGAATGTTTGCACAAAAGTTTATTGACAAGGGCAAAGATTTCAACCTAGAGCTGGCTATCAAAACAAGGATTATTAGCGATGGTTTAAAGTACTCGCTGGCTACTGGCAACTGGGGTGATCAGAAGAAGGCTCACCAGGCCCGTCCTGGTGTGTCGCAAGTGTTGAATCGGCTAACGTACGCCTCAACGTTGTCCCATCTTCGACGTGTCAATTCACCTATCGGTCGTGATGGAAAATTGGCGAAACCGCGCCAGTTACATAATACCCTATGGGGAATGATTTGTCCAGCCGAGACGCCTGAAGGACATGCTGTAGGTCTCGTAAAAAATTTGGCCCTGATGTCTTACATTTCTGTAGGATCGCAACCGTCGCCAATCCTAGAGTTCTTGGAGGAATGGAGTATGGAAAATCTCGAGGAGATTGCTCCATCGGCAATCGCCGAAGCAACCAAAATCTTCGTCAACGGTTGCTGGGTGGGCATTCATCGTGATCCTGAGCAACTGATGTTGACACTGCAGAAACTACGAAGACAGATGGACATTATCGTATCTGAGGTGTCAATGGTTCGGGATATCCGCGATCGTGAGATCCGGATATATACGGATGCAGGCCGTATCTGTAGACCTTTGCTCATTGTGGAGAACCAGAAACTTCTTCTAAAACGGAAGCATATCGATCAGCTGAAGGAACGGGAGTACACGAATTATTCATGGCAAGATCTTGTCGCATCAGGTGTCGTAGAGTACATCGATACACTTGAGGAGGAAACAGTCATGCTTGCCATGACACCCGATGATCTGCATCAAGATAAAGGACTTGCTTATTGTAGTACCTACACACATTGTGAGATTCATCCGTCAATGATTCTTGGTAAGTGGATAATAACTGCAACTTGTTTTTTGGATGGTACTGTGGCCTACCATGTTCAATTAATAACAAATTTTACGCTGTTCACTACAAGTCCAGAAGTCAAGTGCAAGAAGAAGAAAAGAGAGAGTTGGTCAGTAACAACCGATATGTTTTATACTGACTCTTATCTTTATTTTTGAATCAACCACAGGTGTATGTGCGTCTATCATTCCGTTCCCCGATCACAATCAATCACCTCGTAACACTTACCAGTCCGCTATGGGCAAGCAAGCTATGGGCGTATATATCACCAACTTCCATGTGCGAATGGATACACTCGCACACGTACTTTATTATCCTCATAAGCCTTTAACGACAACGCGTTCTATGGAGTACCTGCGTTTTCGAGAGCTACCCGCTGGTATCAATGCCATCGTGGCTATTATGTCGTATACAGGCTACAACCAAGAAGATTCTGTTATCCTGAACGCTAGCGCTGTTGATCGTGGCTTTTTTCGATCCGTCTTCTATCGCTCGTATAAGGACTCGGAGAGCAAACGTATGGGCGATCAGGAAGAGACGTTCGAGAAGCCTCATCGCGACAGTTGCCAGGGTATGCGAAACGCCATTTATGACAAGCTCGACGATGACGGAATCATCGCTCCGGGTACTCGTGTATCTGGCGATGACGTTATCATTGGTAAAACAATTACTTTGCCAGAGAATGATGATGACCTGGAATCGACAAACAAGCGATACTCAAAAAGAGATGCGTCAACATTCCTGAGAAACTCGGAAACAGGTATTGTCGATCAGGTGATGCTGACTATCAATAGTGATGGCTATAAGTTCTGCAAGATCCGAGTCCGGTCAGTGAGAGTTCCACAAATTGGTGATAAATTCGCTTCACGCCATGGGCAGAAAGGAACATGTGGAGTTACCTACAGACAAGAGGTATTGTTTTTTCTTAAATTGCAAAGTTTCATCCATTTAATGAGTAAAAACTATATTGCTATGTATGTGTGTGTCGAATATCCAAAGATCGCTTCGAATTTTATACGCACACGGGTCCGGTCAGTCAATCTGTAGTCCAGCCTATTATCCAGTTTTACTGTTAATAGAATATTTTTGTGTTACATTCGTGATTAGAGAAAAGAAGCAGTACTTGCAGTTTTAATGTTAACGCTAATATAATATAGCGCATAAAAACAGTTAAGCAGCTGCCTGCGCAGACACATTATCTAGATAAAATTTACTTAAATATCGTCTTCAAATCGCCTATTAAAATTTATTCCAATTTTTACTGCGATTCCCTTGGCCCTTCCAGGACATGCCCTTCACTGTAGAAGGTCTTACTCCAGATATCATCATCAATCCGCACGCCATTCCATCGCGTATGACAATCGGTCATCTTATTGAGTGCCTTCAAGGCAAGGTAGCTTCGAACAAAGGCGAAATCGGCGATGCAACACCATTTAATGATGCAGTCAACGTACAAAAGATCTCTAACATTCTTATGGAGTACGGGTATCACTTGCGAGGCAACGAAGTCATGTACAATGGACATACGGGTCGGAAGGTTAACGCCCAAATTTTTCTCGGGCCAACCTATTATCAGCGACTGAAGCATATGGTGGACGATAAAATCCACTCGAGGTATGATATCATTGCTGGGGCCATACAACAACCTGTTCGTAGTTCTATTAATGTGGTTGCGCTTCCGCTTATTGATCTCTGTTAATTATTACCACCTTTGTTACGTACATATATTTATTTATGTAGCCCGTCTTCAGTAGTCTTGAGTTTGTTGTGTCCTTGGATAGCTCTTGTTGTCTATTGATGTGACGTTGTTTGACATATGCGCTTTGCAGAGCCCGTGGCCCAGTTCAGATTTTGGTTCGCCAACCTATGGAGGGCCGTGCACGTGACGGAGGTCTGCGTTTCGGCGAAATGGAGCGTGATTGTCAGATATCTCACGGCGCTGCGCAGTTTTTACGAGAAAGGCTGTTCTTTGCCTCCGATCCATACCGCACGCACATCTGCAACATTTGTGGGCTAATCGCTATTGCCAACCTTCGTAACAATATCTTCGAGTGTAAGGGCTGTCGAAACAAGACGCAAATCTCACAAATCACATTGCCGTATGCTTGTAAATTACTCTTCCAAGAACTTATGTCAATGAATATTGCTCCTCGAATGATGGTACTACCAACGAAGAAATGATTTGAACCAAACTGATATTAAATATTTTGAATATAAAAATTTAACCGAGTCGTAGGTGAGGTTGGGAATAAGCGAAAGGTATATTTGAAGAAAGATGACATCATTGACGAAATTCGATATAGAGTGAGTGGAGCGCTTATTGTGATTTTTGGTGACCTTGGTAGAGCATGGATAGGAAGAACTCTACGATCATTTCTTATCGACGAGGCGCATGGAACGTTGTGTGGACCTTAATCCGCGAAGAGCTGACAAACCTTAATACGAATTTCATAATTATTATTTAGGCAAACTCATGCACAGAAAACTAATTTAGAGTATGGAATTTACCTGAAATTTAATAATAGTGATAGAGGTGTGAATATCTTCGTTCAACCGTTTTTGGTAATGATGTGTGTGTATATAGCTACATTTTGTTTTTTAACGTTACCTAATGCTGGTAGAATCACAACTTTCCGAAAAGAGTTATCACATTCTTTACACATCATTATCACATGAATATTACTGTAATATTTAATATTTTATATGTTATTATATATAATAATAATAAATAAACAAGTAAATAAAATATCGCATGTGATTATATTTTTTAGATATATATTATATAGAATTTTCGAGTATATAAATGAAGATATTAGGATGATGCAACTAAGCAGAAGTGGCTGTCCTTATGACAACAACGATGCCGTTATGCATATCGATTACGATAACTTCCTAACTTAAATAGCTAAATAACGATAACGCTAGCTGAGTTGTTATTTATGTTTATGTCCGTGCATAGGCGAGTCTAGGTCATTCATTTTTATAGGTTCCTCAACCCTGACTATCTAACAGATTTCTTTATTTCAAATAAGAGTTCATATTCCAGCCCTACACGGGCGCAAGGTAAGCTTTTCTCAATAAATGATGTAACAAAAATTAGTGTATTTATCTGGAATACACGAAAGTATGGGTGTGTCGTTCTTTCTTGCAAGCTATGTGCACGGCCCTTCTGTTCGACATACGCTTCTGTCACGTTGCTTCCTTAATTCGGACAGGTTCTGCAATATCCTCGCACAATAACATTTGTTCTAACAGTCAATAATTTGGCATATACATGGTGGATTCCGCTGTCTTTAAGAAAATTTCATCTTCCAATTAACTTTTATGATCCTAGAGTCGTTTTAAAAGCTCTTATGAACACCAACAATCAGAAAATGCATTTAATTTAACGAAACAATTAATCCGTTTGCGGTATGGGAGACAAACTGCATGAATGTATAGATTACATTAGATATGTTTTGTTATTTAATGACTTTCTACTAAAGCAGGTTATTTAATTTCTAATGTACTTTGTGGTAAAAACTTAAGCGTACAATTACAGGTCTGTTACATTACGTATCGCTTTGTTGTTATGATGAGTTTAATGGGTGCTATTTATTGTACATATGCTGTGGTTGCAGTACAATCGAGGCGTAAGCTATACACGAGGCTCTGATAGTAGTTTTCTTCAAACAATTTTTGACCCCAGTTTTAGTGCGAGAGGTATCCAAGACGCAAAAGTGGGTTTATTGCTGCTTTAAAATTAGTTGTGTCGACTTAAATGATATTACACCGGCAGATCCTCGGCTGCTCTCGCGATCGCCTTCAGTGGCATTTCTTCCTTTACATTCACTAAAAACTTTTGTTGCCCCTTCCTTAACAGCCGCGGAGCAGAAAGTGCTATACTTAAAGCTCCTATAGGTGCAGTAATTATGATGGCCAGGATACTAACTGTGAGCACCTGCAAATAAAGGTAAGTAAAGCCTATTGATGTTGAAGTCGCAGTATTATTATCTGTCGCTATAAAGTATTATTATTTACAGTCTGCCTAAACGGTTTAATCGTATGAGGATCGAAAAAACAAACGAAGAGTTTGTGCCTCCCCTGATCAGATAATTCTTCGATATGTTAAGCTGGTGAAGAATATAGTGATTTGTTTGCCATGAATATATGGTTTAATCAAATAGGTATTTCTCTGGTTATATTTTTTTAAATCTAGGTTTATTTATCTGTTGTATATTATTTTAAAACCCTTTTTAAGTTTTAATTAATAAAGTAAAGACATTCACATAAACATACATCATATTGCGATAGTAATCTAAGTGATTCATGAATTTTTCTTTACTATTGAATGATTACTTACGGTTTCACCGTAAACAAGTGCACTTTCCTCAACAGGCTGTCCTTCATTTTTTAGGGAGCGTACCATATCCAAGGCAGTTGGCGCCAGAGCAGCTTGAACAGTCGCTTTGGGCAACCATGCTATACTCACGAATAGTCTTTCTTTTGGGGTGAGTGAGCTGCAACTGACGGCCAGGTACGTCACTCCGATACGGACCGATAGGCATATAATCAATGTGAGGCAACCAAGTAATATCACGTTTGGATCCAACGATGAAACGCGAAATTCAAGGCCAATCATTGCAAACAGTACCGGCTGAAAATTACGATCAACACAATTAACAACGAAATGTATAAAATTAGTTGTTTATTTCTTGTAAAGTGTGGTATCTCAAATTTTATTTATTCATTTTTTACTGGGGGTAGTCAAAAACTTTATATATACGGGTCAACAACATACTTCCAATATCACAGATAGCTGAAAGAACTATATGAAATTGTTTAAAACATGCGTCATACGGTTTACGCGAGTCATGGTGAATTCGTAAAACTAATTTAATATATGTACCAAATATATTAAAATATCATATATAGAAAAAGTATTATATATATAAAGATTTGACACAACTTCCCCCTTATCTGGAGCACCTACATGCGTCGTCGGGCTTATGGAAACCTGGTTTCCCTCAGAATCTGTAATCGATCAATGTACGGCGAAGCAAGTGACAATATGTGTGTTAACTCGGCTTTTGTCTTTCAATTCGTTGTTCCGCATCGCATCTGGTATAAGGAAATCCCCACCAATGTCTGCGATTTTTTGCTCCCATTGCTTAAGGTTGATCTTAAAGGTTTCCGTTCGTGGGGGCTTAAAGCGATAGCATAGGTCCTTGAGCGAGTTAACTAGAAGACGTGCGAAGCGCTTTTGGGTCAGAATATTTAGCCCTAATGCTCTTTTTAACAAGGAGGCTTTGACGAAATTTAAATAACATCCTTTGCTGTAAGATATTTCCAAATGACGGGGATCTTATACGTTGCAACCAGAACTTGTCGCACGTATTCAATTCGTATCATTACATCGACTGCATACAGACTGACTTCGACTGATTTCCTTGGCTTTCTTGTTAGATCAATTATAGCGAGAAGGTTGAGCACATTTACAGGGATACCCGCCTAGGCCAGCGTGGGCATAAACCTGTTCCTAGGCACCGAGTCCAAGGCTACTTTGAAATCGAAGAACATCGCGTGAAGTGGATTGCGCGGCCTAGCTGATGCTTTCTTGATGTTGACCATCAGGATGATACATGCACTTCCTGTGGAAAGTTTCCTCTAGAACTTATGCTACTCCGTTAGGATGATGATATGTAACTGTCTACTTGCTCAGTCACTAAATCCGAAATAAGTCCCTAGTTATAGCAAATACGTTTCATTGCTATTTCGCTTCGCGATAACGCGGTTGGGTCCCTCTTTGTTTTAGAAATTACTAATACGGTAGTATATATCCTTCGGACATGAAACATATTAGTATGTAAACATTTTAATAAATGGCGCTGTTCAGCACACAATATTGTTGTTTATGTCATGTATATGTTTTTCGACAGATCGTCTTAAAAACGGAAACTAAAGGACAAAGTTCAGGTTTTACTAGACTGTAAATCTGAAGGCCATTTAAGCTCTCCGTGTAAGGCTTCAGGTATAATATAACCACGGCCTATGCTTCCGGGGTGACTGTAAACCAGTGAATTTCAACCCGATGTTGTTTATAAGTTTTGGCATTAATTACGCTGAGTACAGAAGGAACACTGCGACGTCTAAGCGTCGCGACAGAGCTTGACGTTCGGCAGTCTGCACAGATGCGACTTCGACAGTGAGTTTTATGGCCATGTGCACCATCTGAGAGAAAAGAATTTTCACACTGAAACTTTATTCTATCTCTAATTACGTTCGTTACAAATATAGGTAAACTAACTTCCTGCGTATTCTAGAAAAATCGGTGTCGAGGTGGGATTAAGTACCCAGCAATCAAAATCCGCGAGCTTGTGCGGAAGGGCCATAGTGCGGCTGCAGCAGATTAATGAGCTTTTCCACCAATAAGTGCGTTGATTCCAAATCAATCGACCGAATAGGGGCTACTATGAGACTTAGTCGCTGGACTTCAGGCAGTGGCGTTATTCTTTAGTAGGTACAGCATGAGGTCGCTTATCTTATGATTGTAGTACAGGGGTATGCCTCTACAAGGGCGGTCTAGTCCGCTGCTCTTCATTGCAGGAAAATGAACGAGGTAAAAACCCGGTAAGTTAAAAGGGCTAGTTATCTAGGTCTGCGTTAGTACGAGGATGTGCATTCACAGCTCCTAAAGAAGAGAGCCCGAATTGCAACTCCTTCAGAATTCCATGTGTAATTTTTAGCGTTTTCTCAAGGTTTGCCCTTACTGCATACTCCGTGATCATTTTCGCGAGCGGCTGTGCTGATTCGAGGTGTTGCATGCTGAAGGCGGCCTTCCGGTCATCGACTTTGCCAGAACGTGCTTCACGAAGTCCTTGACTATTAAAGAGGGTACGATCAGTAGACTTTAGTCCAACTGTTCGGCTTTGTGTTCCCTATCCTATTGTCGATTTTTTAACCGTGGTCTCGCTTAGCTGGGATTAATGTTCTCGAAGGTGACTCGGCTGTTGGAACGTTCAGGCTTAGGGAGTCCTGTTGAACCGGCTGGACTTGCTGTCCAAGCCTCTTGCGCTGATGTCACCAGTAGCGCTTGGATATCCATCTTCTGACTTTAGAACATGTAGACTATGGTATATAACAATATTTACAATTATTTTCCCTTATTAGTCACTATGTAAAGTAATGAAGTTAAATTAAGTTTAATGGCATTTATTTTTTTTATTAAAGCTAAGTTCTGACGGCTTCCGTTTGGGGGTCAATTCAATTGGGTCGGAGTTAACAAATGGCACTTCTATTTGCCAAGGTAGGGTTAACATATATTTAGTTATGCTTTACTAAACGAAACACGCAGGGAATCGTTTTATTATTTGTGAGAAAAGGCTAAACTGATTTGTAGTAAACAAGGTTTTTCTTGTTCTTCAACAGCATCAGCAGTAAATTTTTTACTAAGTATAAGTACTTACCTCAGACATGATCCAGAGGTACTTTAAGACGAGTGAACAAGACACGATCTGCACCACATCATTGGCGTCGCATAAAATACTCGCTTGTCTCTTCCATATGACCGCTGCTGTGGCTGAGGACGCGATGGCTACTAGAGGTCCTACACCTCCAAGACCAAAACGATTACTGATCAAGATACCAGCTATACCGCTGAGTACGATGTACAAAGCACATAAAAGGTCGAACTGAAATGCATAATCATCAGCTACATTAAATATTCAATTAAGTCTTTACTATATGCATCAACGCACTGCCGTAAGCGAAACCACGCTTAGTATTTGACTTATAGTTAGCATTCGATGTTTGTTAGTGCCTGGAGTTAATAAATGTTTAAAGTTTTATGGCCTCTGCTACTGCCATAGACGGCTGGCCTTTTTCAGCATGAAACACACTGTAGCCACAGCCGGTTTCGAACCTAGACCATTTGACATGATCTTTGGTTTAATAGGCAATCACGCTAACACTTCACTTTTACGAAGTCTAATGTTTGGAGTTCATTGAGTTCTCGAAGAGATTTCCCAGGTTCTAACTACATATGGCTATAAATAATCTTACAGATCACATCGAGTTAGCAGAATGTGTGGAAATAGTGTTTTCGATTTGATTCGACATAAGCATGCAACAGACTATAGGTAACGCTAAATATGTCGATTTTTGATGCTGACCATTTTACTCTCAATATTTCTGTTTGCCGGAAGGCCGTATGCGATAACGAAGCCCAAGAGTACACCGCAGATGAGCCCTAATATTGCTTCGGAAGGCACGGATAGCAGGGTCCACAAGACGGAGTCTTCAACCATCGCCTGAAAGAGCATTCCAGAAACAACTCCGAATCCGGTGATCGCCGCCACGTCGTCAAACGATGCTGCCGCCATGATTAAAGTTGGAATGCCCTTGTCTGTGCCTAATCGCTGTTGATTGAGTTCGATCATGGCCGGAACAATTACTGCTGGCGATACGGCTGCGAGCACAAAACTATCACCAATCAAGAATAGGACAAACGACCAAAAAGCATTTCGATAATCGGTAACAAAATCGTTACAATTTTTAAACTAAATTTTTGCTTTATAAATGTGGATTTAAGATTAAAAAGATTTTTCAGATACATATCACATTTACAAGCAGCTCGATAGTAGTAATTCTAGCATAGAGCGTATATCTAAAAATGTCAAGAAGTAATAATAATGCTGGGATTCTAGCATTCATTGTTAACTCCAACTCACCCAAGCAGCAGAGCCCAGAGAAATGGAAGGTCGAGAAGATAGTGGCCGACGAACATAACCATAAAGGCCTCGGCAAAGCAGGGAATGAATGTCAATCGTATGCAAGCCATACTTAGCTTCTGGAGTATTGTCAGATCTAATCCTATCCCAGCTGTAAATGTATACAATAGTTAGTGCATGTATGTGTGTGTTTATAGGAAAAGAAGTAATTTGCAATGAACCGGCTGCTTGTGCTGCAAGGCATAATCATTTTGCCCGGCTCTTTAACATACTGGGACTAATTCATTCATTTAAAACCCATTACGCTCGTTATATTACTTTTACCTTACGGACCTCTCAACAGAATGATGGCAAGTGCCACTGAACGAAGTTTTCCGGGTATTTCAGACGGGATGGCAACTAAGTCGAAATTTGCGAGCACAGCTCCTGCTCCCATCATTCCCAGTAGTGGCGGTACACGTGGCAATAACGCGGTAGCACAGCCAGCAATGTATGCGATCGTCACGGTGACAACAAGTTGGACAGAGAGTAAAAATTGTGCGCTTGGCAGAGCACCCCAAAGGGCTCCGAGCAGTGGCAGTGTGATAAAAATCCACCGCAAACGTTCCAAATAATTCGGACGCGCTGAAATGAACGAGCGTTGAGGTAGTACTATAAAATTTGGATGTTAACCGTCTAATTATTAGATTCCGAGGTCAGGCAGACTGCAGCATTTTACTTAGCAACGCAAGAAGAATTCCTTGCAAAGACATCAGGTGCAAGCAGGGTATGCTTTGCCTTCACCTAAAAAAATTCTTAACCTTCAACGTCACCCAAAACCGTTTTAAATTCGATACCCCAGATCTCAGTCTGACCTTACTAGGATTGAGAGTTATCTGAAGCAATACTTATGGTAATACAGTACTCTACGTAAAATCCGTGACAAAGGAAAAAGGTTGACTCGTCATAAATGTAGTAGTCATCCGTTAATGTTAATTGTCACGTCTCATTCACAAAGCTTCATATTAGAATTGCTTGAAAACGGTTATTCTTATTGTCGCTACAAAACTTCATTTCAGGATATTACAAATCCGCTTACTCCATATATCATCCTAGGACTAACGGTTCCAGAACTTGTTTTCCTTAAAAAAGTCGGAGAAACCAAGAGGTGCACTGAAGGGTGTGTTTGGACATGGGTTAGTTTGATCCGTTGCATATCAAATAATATTAAATTCAGTTTCGATTTAGCAAAGAGCGGTCGCGGTCAACCTAGGTTCCCGAAAGTCGATGGAGTTTGAGCTGTTAGTATCTCTTGATCTCAGTGCCAAAAAATGGTAACTTAATGATGCAGTTGGGACAGAGGGTAAAGGCTGACTACTTTCCAGTATTTCTATCATTTTTTGTTAGTATTTTCTGTGTTTGCCGCTGCGGTAGGCAGGTAAACAGACAGTCTGAACTAGGTAATAATCCTAACGCGAGATACGGTCGGACAAATCTACATTTTGCTATATACCAGCACTGCACAGAAGGATCAAGGCAATCAAAGGTATCATTCTCATATAATCTTCTCTTTATCCTGTAGTATCGCAGCCTAGAGGCCTTTAATAAGCGGCTCCTATTTTAAATCGTAACGGTCTGCCAAACTAATTACGTGGTGTGCCAGGCCACAGTGAATAATTTCGACAGCGGCGAACGTACGAGCTTGGGCGCACACTTTGTAGTACAAATGACCCTACTACCTATACCGCTATTCGTCACTAATGGTCCTGTTGGACAGGTTAACGCCTGAAAAGAATGTTTTCCCGAGTCTCGCGACACCCGGATGGAAAGGGGGTACAGCCGGGGATCCGAACCCTGTCGAGCATAGAACGAATATGGATGTCTCTGTAAAAGAGGAGGTAAAGAGAGAAGCCGGTCATCTAGAACGTACGATCATCAAAATGTGGGTCAAGATTTCGTGCATAAAAAGAAGAGGGCTGTCCCCACATTGTTGAGGTCGGTCACAGGAATGGTCAAATTAGCTGAGAAACTCGATGTTTATTTAAGCGAAAAAGACAAAGGTGGTTCTTGGCTACACAAACACATACACGGCAAAATGAAAAAAAATGGCGTACAAAATAGGAAAGATGGGCCGGGACAACGAACTTTTTGACAAGGTGACGTTGGAAAAACCGATAAAGTAACGTGTATACTCGAAAAAATGCAAATTTGGGTGTCTAATGTCATCAGGGGCCTGAGAGACACAGGTAGGTTTGGGATGAGGGATTGCAGCTCTGATGAGAAGCATTAGCTTTTGCTAGATTGAAAGCGGCCTAAACAAGGCTACAGGGCTCCGAAGTTATCGTAACGTGATACGCATAATCTGGTCTGGGTAAACATGACCACCCAGTTCAATGGGCTGAAGGGACACTCGGTCGGACTCACCTTTAGTTTGTACCATACAGGAAGTGGATAAGGTTGAGATTATCATATCTAGGACGGCAGTAGCTCCAATCCGCCTAGGACAAAAAAGACTACATACCATCTCAGTGAAATCACCGTTTTGAGTTTTACATCGGGCATCGATGTTACGCATCCCATCAGACGGCTGGCTCCCAGTACGAAACGAAGTATGTTTATGCCCGGATTCAAAACTAGACTACAAGACTATAAGGTTTTTTGCGAAATCCTTAGCTTAGCAGACTGCCTAGCTAAACGTATACCCGAAAATCTGTTACTATGCGTTATGAGTTAAAGTACGGGAAACCACGGGCTTCTCAGGAGAATTGCAGTTGGTGCGACTTACAAAATGCATCTGCACCAGACGATCACAAATAACAACAATAAAGGGACACCTAACACTGTTTCGAGTTTTATGATACCGAGAAATGTTAACGAGGACACACCCTTTGCAAACGTCTTGAAGCTTCAGCGGGATGTGGATCTACTGAAACACAAGATTAAGCTTACAGGAACTAAAATTCTAGAATAAATAGAATGAATGTAAAGGAAGGGTGTGTGGCAGTATCTCAAGCTTTTATTAAAAAAAGAAGATTATTAAAAAAAAAAGATCGATCGTCGTTAGCCAACCTTTACCTTCCACGAGCGCCTATTAATAAGAGCCTTGCAAAGGGAACCTCTGCTGAAGCAGTTTCTAGGCCCATTGTCGACAGACACTGGGGTCTACAATGACCATCTCTTTGTCAGTAAACCAATGAAGGGCACTACGAGCTGTTGGTAGACCATAATTTGGTTTACAAATTCTGCAGCAGAAAGCAGAATAATAGCACAAGGCAAATTGTGTATAAGATAGACTACGTGACCGAACGAGTTACGGCGCCGTATTGTCCATGGTGTTAAAGAATGCTAAATCACTTACTAGTAAAATCTCGGCATCGACGAATAACAAGTTTGAGTTGTCTGCAATGTCTGTTTCCTCAAGACAAGCTGCGAAAAGCGATACCTTCGATACAGCAATGAACTCCAAATACCAAAAACAGCAGTGGAAACGGCACAATAGCTTTTTCTCAGCGAGAATAGCGAAAGAAAAAGGCAAATGGACAATGATTGGAATCGTCCAGGTAAACTGAAACAGAAGTGTAGCTTGTCACAGTCTGGGGGGTTACTTTTGCGAGCCTGACACTGGTTTAAGAACCAATCGGCAAATGACATGCAGTTCCGATGGCACAACGTGCATGAAAGTTAGAGTAAGATCGCAACAAGTAATGAAACAAGGGAAGGGTCCTTCTAAGTACAGAACGTAAGTCTAGATCGCATTGACTCTTGTTATTCAAATTTTAATAAGACTGTAGAAAAATTCGAACCAAATTTTCACGGCGTATTGAAGTCGATTACTTAAGTTGCTCTAGCAGCTATTGTTGAATACTGACGCGACGACTGAGGTATAAGGAGCTTGTAGGTCAGATAAGAGATCTCGGCAGATGCTGGATCCAGAAGTGACCACGCAAGACCTAGCAAGACTACGGCGTGCCGACTTTTCGAAGCGACGCGGGTTCCTAGTTTGTAGATCTTGCGGGATGTGAAGTGGATCAGGTGACCCATCTTCATGTCTAGAAGGTGCTCAAAAGATGGAAGTACTGCGGTATTGAGTTTTCTGTGCATCTAAGGCGAACAAGCGGCGGTCCTTCTGAGGGAACGTCGCTGGTGGACCTAAGAAAAGAAAGAAAAAGGGAAGCTATAAAACGGTAGGTGCAGAAATATGAAGACTCGTAGAGTAAGATAGATCCACGATGACTCTGGGTGGAAATCTGCAGAGTAGGAGGGTATTGTAAGATGAGTGAAAAATGGTGTTCTACGAGTGGCGAGAGCTGACCAGCACGTAACCGATACAAAAGGGAGTTTGAAGAAGTTGGACTTGGCAACAATCTGGACGCAGTCCAAGAGGCTATTAAGGACTGTAGGAAGAAAAAAAACAACGGAACTTAAAATAAACGTCAAGGATAGCAAAAAAGACTAGTGGAGAAGCTTTCTAGTAGACTAGTAGAGAAAATTTCTCCAGTTATTCGGTTGCAGACACAAAAAGATTTGTAGCGTCGCCCTTATAAATTCGTATGAGAGGAAGCGAGTACCGTGAAGAAGAGTATTTAACCAAAATAAGAGAACTAAGATTCTACCCGCTACGAGCGCAAAAAGAATGTATCACAACTTGCGTATTAAAAGGGGTAATGCGCCGGGCACCAATAGAATACCGGCCGTGGTTACAAGGACTCTTTAAAAGGACTTCCCTAACATGATCGCTGTAGTTGCCACGTAGATTCTCAGCTCCAGAAGAGAATCAAAAAAAGTAAAGTCGTACTTATCCTCAAAGGTTAGAGTTTCTACAGGACACTGGCGAAAGTTATCGAGGAGGTTAGTAGGACAAAAGAGCATAGTCGAAGAAGGAGAACTTCTGTCAGACAATCTGTATAACTATCAGAAACATAGATCAGTGTTGACAGCAACTGATAGGATAAAGCGAGGAAAAGCTCAAATAAAGCAGGAAGATTTTTTCTTGCGATCCTTCTTTGAAATGCATTTAATAACCTGTCATAGCAAACAGCGCTCACATGTTTGAAGAAAGAACTTCTCCAGTGCCTAGTTCCTTTGATCACATATTACCTATAGAACAGTTTGCTGGTTAATGACGAAATAATTTTTTATATGGCTGCCGCAATTCTTCAAGTCTCTACCCTGGGCCCTCTCCAGCGAATCCTGGCATATGATGAAATGTTAAGATTAAGCAATCTTTCTTTTAGTTGGAAATAATTGCTTATGCAAATGGCTTGACTGCTACAGCTAAAGCCCGGAGGAGTACCAAAGAAAACATTAAAATAGATCTTAATATGTATAGGAAAGCACAGGCTATTTCAAGCCGGTCCTAAGTCAGTAACTACTGTATTAATCGGCAAGAAAAAAGTACCAGCTTCTCACACTCGCTTTGGATACAAGTGAATAATTTCCGGAAAAATGGTGGAATACGTGGGCATACAAATGAATTATAAAATGAAAAAAGTGTACCACATCAAGCAAGCTGTCACAAAAGCAACTTAACCCTTTATGGAAATTGTCAGAACACTGCTAAACATGTATAGACCATGGGAAAAGAAGAAAGGGCTTCTTACAGCAGTAGCAGAGTCGATTGCACTTTTCAGCGTATTTATCTAGACATTGTCCGAACTTATGGAGGTTAAGGTTAAGAATCGATTGAAAAGTGTTCAACTTACCCTTACACTCACTAAAGGTTATCCGAGCCTACTACAAGTTTAGGACAAACACGACTTGGCAAATATTATTCCCTGAGATATGGGAGTTCTAGAAAGGCACATGCTTTAGTACGATACGATAGATGTTGCGGAAGGCAAAGTCTTGAAAATGTGGCAAGAACGGTAAGAGGCAATTCATAATTTTGCTTCGGAAACAGCATTAAGGGACACCATTTTTAACTTACAGGCCTGGCTTGTATGTCCCGGTTGAGAACTTAGTTACTATTTTACACAGATTCCATTAGGCCACCGAGTGTTTCGAAGTAATCCTCATCAAATAAGTTGAGCCCAATTAGGTCTTTGTATCCTGTGCACTGCTGGCATGGAAAATACGGCATACCACATGCTGGCGACGTGTACGGCGCTCGTTTACATTAGAGAAAAGCACATGGCAGGAGAAATGGGATTATCTGTAGGAAACGGCATTAAGATCTTCGTAGTCTTCATCATTCAACCACTAGAGTGTTTTGGGGCGGGTGAAATTCCGGAAAAAAATTTGAAAAAAACGTCTTGCGGTGTTATGGCTAAGCAACACGGCGGACGATGCTTTGTCAGGTTCATAGCCCAGGGGGGGCTAATTCGACTAGTAAGTTGGAGCGCGTAGCAGGAATGACCTCGACCTAATGACCGGTAGTGCTAGCTACTTTCTCCTAACAGCTGGGTTGATTGGGAGTGAACCTCGATAGAGAAATTGAGAATCAGTGAGCAATAGTCTTGACGGGAGTAAACCCAACTGGCAAAGCTAAGCCTCACATTCAGCCCACATACGATGGTGCTGGTCTACCATAAGCTATAAAAAATAAAGTAATACCAGGATTTGCTGCTCAAACTAAAGGGCATCCTTCATGAGGCTTTGACGACTGTTCTATAATAACCTCATTGGCAGTCTTTATAAGCATTTAGAAATCTGTTTATTGAATAATCTCCTATACAGAATTACGAGTTTGGAGAGATGGGATACTTGAACGTTAGCTGTGAATAACACATCGGCTTTATATCATAGTCCGAACTCTGTTCAAATACAAAACCATTCCGTTCGTTTTACTGGAAATCCTTCGACCATCGAAACCGCTGGATTTACCATTGTAAAACAGATACGGCCCTCAGCTTATATGTTTTTAGTTATTATAGGCAAATTTATCTGTAAAGGCTGCAACAAAGACTTTCTCGATGTAGGGGAGATTCCGGAAAGAGGCGGCTGGTGTCATAGTAGACGGACGACCGAAAAGAGAATACTGGTGACTTTAAAAATGAAGTTGGAATTGACTCACTGAGCCGAGCAGACATTTATATCATCTGAACTGGAGTCTTTGTCACGCCTATGTTCTACGTAAAAATTTCTATATTAAGATTCAAAGTAAGAGTTCGATTGTTTAGTAAATAAATCACTCGGCTTAATTATTTACTACAAAAAACAGTTGCGTTATTTAAGAACTGAAAAGGATCCGATCATTAGACTAGCGTAATTGACAAAAAGACGATAAAGTCGTATTAGTTCTACTGTCCGACATTTTTTTTTTGTACAAGCAGCGTCTTTTCCGTTATTTGTATTCAAAGTATGAAGAGTTCAACTCGGCGAACTTTGATAATACTAATCACTATAATAAGAGGAGATCTTCGAGGTTTCAACTAACTAGAGACAACATATATACGTGACAAATGAGAATAGCAACACCGTAATGGAATAAACAAATAACAAACAGTTTTAACAGAGTTCTGAACAGAGTTCTGAGTTCTTTTTCATACCTTCAGAAAAAGCCTTCGGTAAACGTCGGGGAGATTTTCGAACAAAATCTGCTTTTTGTTTCACAGTTGAGTCTTCGGCAAGCAATCCTCCAATCTCTGCAGGAGAAATCAGCGTAATTGATTCTGTCTCCAATTTTGTTGTAGTGCTAAATCTTGACGAAACTGATTCCTCCACTTGTCCTTTCTGTTGAGACTCCGTCGGAACAGTTGCTGTGGCCGACGAAGAAGTCTCAGACGATGCGTCCAACCATGTTGTTGACGGGCTGACCTGTTTAGCCGCATTATCGCGTGACAGTATAGTCTTCGGTGGGGCTTCTTCTGTAACATTTAACTTAGGAGCAAACTTCGTCCGTACAATAAATGGGGCTGTGATTGCTGACTTTAGAAAGACGCTCTTCATCGTGCGCGCAACATGTCGACCCACTAACTGAAAGCACAACATGACAAGCCCACGATAGGGAATATTTTGGCAATATTGCTAATTGCCCAGGTTACTGCTTTCATTCTGATCGGGTTGAAAAGCGGAGAATATCGACCGCAAAAGGGCTACAAATGTCATGAATGCTAGTTGAGGATGAGATGATGCTCCACGACCAATTTGGTACTTCCCCACCATCAAAACAAGATCTGACGTTTTGAATAATATTGCTTCTATAGTAACAGGTTAACTTCCGTGGAGCAATTATGGAAATTAGTTGATAAGCTTAGTTAGCACACGTACATTTATTATCCACGAACGAATCTACAAAAAAGCTCCCACCATTGTTGACAGAACCGAAGTCAACAATAGAACTGTAGCACGATACCTTTTCATACGAAAAACTTTCGTTTGTTTATTACACCTCTTTCAAATGCGTAGAAGAGCAAATGATGCCTTTTTGGTATAAAGATGACTTCTGGCGGTTAATGAATAATTCACGGGTCGTAAGCATTACTAATGTCATCACCTACGGAATGAATCTACCGTTACTTAAGGTAGTACAAAGAACTTTAAAACTCGTGTGCCAGCATGTGGAAAGGATGCTCATTTTCCATTTGAGATTTTAGAAATACGATAAAATCGAACACATTCGACAAGCGGCAAAACAGAGGAACACACAAAGATATGAGTTTTTCACTAACGTGGCATCGTTCATCAAAATTATGGTTCTCTTAAAACTTTTAGACAAAATTAAACAGCTAAATATAATAGAAGCCACCTTTTGATTACACATATGTGTAGCCAAGACACGAATACTTATCACAAACACATGCTTCGACAATTATGGCGTTAAGACGTAAAGTTAGTTCTAATAACAATATCGGCATTGTAATGGTAATAACAATATTGATCAATTTGAAAGCGATCAACGAGGAATAACGAAGCACACAATGACATTGATGCTATTAACAGTACGAAGAGCCTGTAACTGTTGCACCTTTCAGGTTTAAAGGGGCTGTAAATAATAGGTTAATAAACCGTTAGGATTGTTTAGGTTTAAAACTCCTTAAGCACCGTTGTTTATTGCTGTGGTCAAAAGCCAAGCGAGCGCACAACGGATGCGTACAATTCTGTTAAAGAAATATATCGCCCACATTAGATCTTTGTCTTGCCTCAGAACAGGTAGTCGCAACAGAACGTCTTTGAAGCGTATCGAGCGTCATTATGTTTACATAATAGCATTGTGGCCTAGCATAATGTATGCCCTGAAATCAAAAGCAATGAGTAGCAATGTTTAGTTATCACTCTTAGAACAGCGTGTTTTATTATGTGGACGCGTCAAAAAACATCTCACTTGTCTTAGAGTCCGCTTATCTCTGTCAGCTATTTTTGTCGGACACTCGTCGCCTGTAACCATAAGTGGTGTTTTTCGCTTAATACATCTAGCTATCAATGATCCAATAACGAAAAGTATATTTTAGATAAAAGAAAAACCCTCATTTTATTATTTGGTAATTACATATGGAGATCACATGAGAGGACGGATAAGTATAAATTTGATGCTTAAAAAAATCAGCTATAAGAACAGTCAACGAAACAAGAAAAACTTTTTCCCTCAATTCCTTATCTTTTTTCGGAATTTCTAAAAAGTCGGAGCTCATCTGTCGATCATCTGAAAATCGGATTCCACATAGTTTTCATTACACTTTATTCGTAACAAAGTAATCGATCTCTTGATTATAGTATCTTGTAGTAAACCACATCTTTTATACAATTTATATATGGACGGCGAAAGCAAACTGATAATTGAACGTGATATTTCACCTAACGTTTCAAAAATACTATAGTGGTATAACACACTAATGCTCGTAAGATGATTATATCTTTCCCGGCATCATTCTGCAGTTATTCTGTCTGGAAACGTTTTGATGGAATTAACCATGAGCGACAAGCCGGTGATAAATCAGGGCAATTCTACCAAGTGTACAATAAATTAAAACGTATCCTATAAATATATCTTTTTTTGGTGCAAGTATAATCATTTGATTAACGCCTTCTTTTTAAATTTACTGCGTTTTTTGAACAGCTCTTTAAATATATGAATTACTTGACTATTACTGGGTTCTATAAGTAAAACCAGTTCTATATAGTTCACGCGATCAACACTACGATCAATAATTTTTGCTTATAAATCTACAATAATTAGATATAGCGCGATAGGGCTCAAAAGACTCACATATATCAGCTTTATGCATATGGAAGGTGTTAAAGAAATCGCGCGGAGTTGTACGTGGGTCATTATTCTGTAGTATCTGTAATAGTCAACGGAATAGTTATGTTGTGCACCCAGAACTGCAACGCAGTAAGATATATTAGAGAGAAATTAAGATTCGTGCGCAAAAAAGGGAACCTGCGCTGGAAAATCAATAAAGCTTGATATAATTAAGCAACTAATACGTTATCAGTCCGTTCGAAACCCTAAAAAAGTAGTAATGAATCAAAAATGAAAAGTTTACGGCTCTGTTGAATGGGTCAAAATAACTAAACATCAAAAGCTCGTAGATTTCCTGAACAGTATCTAGCGGTCAATATCTATTTCCATTTATCAGTTGTAAGGACTTTGCGTTAAAATCGCGTTTGGCGAAACTGCAGGGCGGAAGAGCTACGGTCACCGGCAGAACTGTCGCCATTTCGTGTTAATAAATGTAAAGCTGACTGAAGTATGACACCAATCACAAAACGCGAATCATGTTAAATCTTGGACGCCACACAGTTATGCCCGCAAAAGCACGGTCGCTAGATTCACGTACCTCGCTCGATGCTAGACAACTAGACAGACTATTTTTTTAGAAACCCGTTATTTTACTTTTTTTTAGCTGCGACCGCTGTACCTTAACTAAGCCACTCACAATTTATTGAAAATATTCCCATGATGTGAATCCAGTCTATTTTTTTTCGGAATATGAAAGAAGCTGATATTTAGTGGTTCAGTAAAAGACTGATGCCAATTAATTTGATCCGTATCTAAACTTTATACTGTACTACTCTTACGACTGCAAAATAATTATATTGTTTATATGTATAAGCATTACAGGATGTACATTTATATAATCTTTGTTTATTATTATATGCTCCCCGCATATTCTACGACATAAAGGGTCTTCGATTCCACAAATTTCGCTTGTTTTTTTAGAGAAAATCTCCACAGCTTCGAATGAAACAGGTAAGATACTATCACACATTCAATATTTTCAATGGTCGACAGACATGCGATGTATGAAACACATATTAATACAGCGTATAGGTAATGAGGATTACAGTTATATACGAAAAGAAAAGCAATGCGGATGTCGCCTAACTATGCAGAGCGTTTAACGAACTATTCGATTTACTGTTTAACTTTCATAACGCGCTGAAGTTGAGACTCTAGCTAGAAAATTGAGTAAATTTTTGTTTCCTAATAAATTCTCAACGCTAAAATTAGTTAAATGTTTTACAAGAATACTCCATGTTGCTCTAAGGGTTTATATTAATAACCATTTCATATAGGTTTGCGTATTCATTAGTTAGTTTCAACAGAGTTTAGCTTGAAGCAATTTCAGTTAAGAAACTTCGATCAACCCAAACATAAGGCAGACAGAAAATTTTCTAAACCACAGAGAAACACAAATGAAATTGTGTCAGGCAGATCGACCTGTACTGTTATCTCACGTAAGTCCACGTGCGCAAAAAGAAGCCGAGGTAAAGAATATGACGGAGCGCATCAAAAATGAACGCCTCTTGAAGATTCACTCAATCGATTACATCGATCCTAACATCTGCTAGCTACCCGTTCACGTGACACAGCACACGTAAATCTATCTAGCCATGAAAGTTAGCATATCTCGATAATCAAAAGAAATTCTGTGATTTAATTTATATAGCCAAACTTAACTTACCAGCGGCGTCATTTGGTTCTGAAATTGATTCCTCCATTTTGTAGTGAACTACGAAAACGACATGATAAAAGTGTCTTCAAAAACCTGATAAATCATTGTAGCATTAGCAAGCATGATCCGTGGAACAGTTTAAAATTCTGGATGCTCTCTGAGCCTCTGCATCTTTGAGCGGTTAGGCGGGTATCGCTATCTTTAATCCAGTGTAGGTGCGCACGAAGCCAAGCATATGGTTCACTCTAATGCTAGCGTACTCGCTCAGACGATTTACACAAACAACGATAAGGCGTGCGACGATATTTTTCGTGTCATAGCGCGTCTGATGCAGCCTTTTTAATAAGAGAGAGTTAGTGTCAGGCACTGAATGTTCCTGTAGTCATTCACTTATCTGTAATCAGCAGCAAATATACGATGAGGCAATAAAGCAGTTTTAAGGTCTGTCTACCCAAACACTTCTTGGTCATCTTTTGACGCATAAGTTTCATAACACCCATGCTACACTACCTGCTTCCAAATATTAGACAGATTAGTATAACCATAACTACACCAATATGTACTTTTACATGCTACGGTCCATCAGTCGACTAATGTGGCTATAGTATAGTTACTTCGCTCTGAGTGTACGAAAAAAATCACATACTCATTAGAGCAGATACGAAATATATAGTAGATTCAGCTCCTTATGTGACCGGACGCAAAAACAGAAATCAGCTGATCGGGAAGCGAAAGGGAGGAACAAGGAAGGGTTCGGGCTGCAAGACGATTGTTAATCATCGCTCGTTTCCGATTGTCAGTAAGCTACTATCGGAAACAGAATACAAATCTGCGCCATATGAAAGTGCCATGTTTTAAATTGCTTGCCTTTATTGTGTATCATAAGCGGTAATTCAGCGACGCGTCGGTACAAATGGTTCGAAATATTAACTATGGTCTTTCATTCGGCTGTGATTTGAAGCTTCAACTGACCGCTTTCTGACTGTTCGATAAAAGTACATCTATTTAAGAAATTATCAACGGTAGCTATTATATTGATAACAATCAGAGGCCTCCAACGTAATTAGTAAGATGAATTTTTAATTCACATTGAAATATATCGTCCGAAAAAGCTTGTCCTAAGCTAAAAATATTTCTTATAAAAAAATAGCGACCTGAGATGCAATAGCCCGCTAATATAAGTAATCCTTATGAGCGCGATCGTCCAAGCCGGCAAATGTACATTTTCGGCGTATATAGACATTTTATATTTAAAATTATTGTCAAGTCTTTGGCATGAATATCTCAATCCATTTACCTGAGAATTGTAAATCTTAGCAATTATTGCTAAATTAGAACTATCTAAATCGATAATACATCTTCTACTGGCAGAAGGTTGCTGGAACGAAAGAAATATTACTGTTACTCTTAGAGGTTAAACCTGGACTCACTTTAAATATCTAGTACAGTCGGTCGTTGCACAGGGTAGTAGCAAAAACATAAGCTCATTTCTAAGCAGAATAAAGATTAATCTCTTTTTTATATTTACCAAGAGATACCAAATGCGAAATCTGTATTCTGATGTATTCTGAATCATTTTGATAACTTGATGGTTAGATATCTAAATATCATAGTCAATGCCAAGATTATTACTTGCGCAGTCAAAGCAATAAGTAATATTCGTTAAATACAAACAATTCCACTTAATCCATTTAGAGCGAGTGTGGTTTACCCTGTAATAGACGAGGACATATTCATTTGGCTTAGTTGTCTTTCATTTCTAGACATTTCAGTCTAGTCGGGGGTCACCGATTTTAATTTCGTGCGCAATTTGGCAAAAAATCATTATCATTTATGGACACTTATCGAATCCACGCCTGTCTATGGATGCTATAATTAGTAATAACTCTAAAAGTTTGTCGCCTTAGTTCGTGAAATAGGATGGGTTGGAGCATCCGTGTATTTCCACTCGACGTCCAACATAAAAGAGCTGCTATACCGCTTTCGATCTCTGTAGAAAGGCGAGGTGAGAAACGACCATGTTGTCAGAACGTGACAACTTAACTAGCCAGATTAACTAGAGTATAGAATGTGCACATAGGGCGCAAATCTTGCCGTATACTAATTAAAAAAAACGCATTCGTGTCTTGGAATATAGTGAACGAGCTGCTTTCGAACACGACATGCTCTGCGATAGCATTAAGTGTATGGTATAGTTGTAATACAATGAAATGAAAATCATGAAAATCTTTGTAATGAAGCTAGTAGTGAAGTGTCGAGTCGCTTCTCTGTGATGATATTTTAGATGATAGTAATATTACTATTTCAAGTCAAGTAAAATAGCGGGACGTATTTGGGCAGCCGACAAGACGTGAAATGTACGATGACACTTAAACTGTGCTAACCCTATTATCATACTTCTAATACAGAAAATACAGACAATGTGTGAGAAAAAGGTAAAAGTAAGTTAGACTCGACCGCCTCCACTTTCGCATTCTTCTATTTTACAAATGAGATGGTCGCTTATTGTAACCCATTCCCTCAATTTGGATACTTCCAGCGTTTTTATACATACGACGAGCTTCTATGTAATTTTTCGAGTTCGACTCTTAATTTGTCATTTTATCTATTGTTCTATAACTTTGTATGTCCAACATTGTTTTGTTGATTGATTAGACTTTATATATGCAACTTAGTTTTTCCAATAAGGACGGATTCTTGTCAATTTATTTTGCTCCATGTTTGGAACAAATTGAACACAGGCAACATGATGATATTATGAAACATTTTCACGGAATTTCCGCGTTGCGATGAACTCTGACGGAATCAAACATTTTTAAGAGTGTAGGCATTCTCAGCTGTACCAAGTTGTGTAGGTCCTTACAGAAAAATCCTGTTAACACTTAAGCTTGCGGGAAGTCAGTTACAAATAAATGGTTAACATGAACCATTCATACTCCTATAGTCTACTTCTATAACCCTATCGACCCCAAACGCTCTTAGTGTTAGAGCAAAAAGGTATAAGCACCAATAAAGACGCTAAGCAAAGTTGCTCCCTAGATGTCGCAAGTGCTTATTTTTTTTAAGGATTTTTTGAATACGGCCATCGACGAAAACGGAAGCAACAAAAACGCAACAACGATACTCACGGCCATGGAGGTGCACTTGCATTAGAAAGCGCCTCGATATTACATATGTACATTTATAAAGCTGTTATAAACTTGTTTACGTCGAGCTACGCCAAGGCAGCCTTTGTACGATGTGTTGACGTGATACAAAGCTAATCACCTCTTTTTAACCCACCATGTCAGCAAAGCAGGGCCAAATCCAGTCAGTTCTTTAAAAATACCTGCATATACGTTCGAGCTCCGCTGTGGATCATGCGCATCGAGCTTAGTTTATAATGGGAACATTGCTCACAACAGTTAATCATCATATATATGGATGGCTAATAAGTTACGGCAAACAGCGCTGTCGACGACCGAAATTGAAAAAATGCAACGAAACACTCTCCGGACGGGTAAAACCCAAAAAATACCTCTACAAATGTCTATGTTCGGAGTGTCTGATCACCGCCACTCAGAATCTACAGATATCGGTTAATCAAGCTGCTAATGGCCAATCAGATCGACGTAAACGTTTGTTTCTGTGTCTCAATAGTGATAGTTCATCCGACTTGACAGTCTGTGAACATAATCAGCAGTTCCGTACCGTGTGCTAATAGCATTGATCACACACGTGAGTCTTGATCTCGATCATTTGTAAAGCTCTATTTGCAGTTCTTTTTCGCCCTCTAAAAGAGCCCTTTACAGAAATAATTTCATGTCCGCCATCTTTTGTAACTGCTGCCCAATTAATTCTATTATTTGGATAGGCACCTTGTAACACCCAGCTACCATATCATTATGGCGTACAGCCGTAATGGTGCAGTGGTTACATGTTTACCCACTAAACTTAGAGACATTTAAGGTGATCTGGCTTTTTAAAAGCCAGATCACCTTAAATGGGACGTAAGCGCATTTTGTTCCGTACTAAAAGAAGCCAGCTGCCTGAAGTAGTGCTCAACTAAGGTAGTATCGGACGTAAGACTCGAAACATTTATTCGTCCCAGGTCAGCCTCAGGATTCGCAGATAGTGATTTCTGGCTAGTTTTCCCACTGCGGTTATACTATGATGTGTCTCCACTGATAGCTTAAGATAAATGAATGGAGAGTGGCATATTCTTTTCACCGTTCCTCGGAGCACTAAGAAATCGGAGGTACGGGAATAATATATTTGGACGGAGTTGTATATAGAGGCAATTTGATATTAACTTCAGCTTCAATAATATATCACACCGCCATGGGAAACTTTCATTACTGTTTATTCTCATTACTTGCTGTGATAACAGCAAAAAGCGGGAAAATGTGCCAAACACGGGGCTGTGTATGTGTGTCACAACTGATTCCGGACTCTGCTGCTGTAGCCTACAATCGTCATGTTTTATGAAGAGTACAACTATTTATCGCGTCGAGACAAAACTCACCACTGTATGCATCAACAATTAACCATAACTAGAGAGACCGTGCATTGTTAGAGTCAGCTCATTTTATTGAAATCTCCAACCATTTATAAATTTTGGATTTATGCGGTTGGTGACTGCTACAAGTATATACGCCATGTATGTTATTACATTACAATCACCTTCTAGTTTCTTCGCACACCACATATTTCTACTAAGTCGAATTTTTGTTGATTTTGACTATGGTTGATGTCATATCTTTTCTGGAACCTGTTGTCTTTTACTGCAATATAGACGTCGCGAATTTGTCTCAAAAGGGACGTTGTCTCTTAGCGGCACTATCTTAGACGGTGAAACCACGTCTTACCTGATACTCAATACAAGGGCCCTGTGCTCGAAAAACGTTCTGCAGTTCCAGTGACAGTTCTAGAAAAACACTATTCGCGCAGTGAAGGTAGTGAATTTTTCAGGAAAAGGAAAGGAAAAGTAAACCAAGATGACATTAATTAGAAATCAATAAGAGCTCTTCAAGTCAGAGGTATTGAAGGACGAAACAAATTGTACGCTAGTACACAATCGCCGAAGTTTAACGTTTGTAGATCGTCCTTCGTTTACCCTTGCACGCCTGCTATACCTGTTGTTGTATGTGCTACGTCTCCTAACTGTTGCCAACTGGCTTTGCTATGGCGTTGACATTGTTCCGATTGCGAGAACAGCTAATATCTATCACTTATACATATCGTACGCCTTCAACACACTGGCGGTAAAAAATGTAAAGAAATTCCTTTACATACAATTAATTCCTAACCGAACTTCTCGGCAAGCATTAGATTCAATCGGTTCTGGATTGCATTTGTATTGGTGGACACCGTATTCCATGCTTTAAGCTTTTACGGGTACATGTTTTGTGATCAGTCGGTATGGAACGATGGCCTCTATAAAATAGCCGAACCATAAGCTACGCAGTACTCAGCATTCTCGTAGCATCGTCCATTGTGAACTGAGCCTTAATTTTTATATGGTACTAATCGTTTATTTTCGCGCCGGCCAATGGGGCCGAGCAAACTCTGGAGCTTGCATTGCCCGAATGCAACTTGTCTAGTAGCCGATCTCAGCACCAATTTTAAAGAACTTCAGGCAACTTACCAGACTGACGTTTCTCTATAGATAGTAATACTTTTACGTCACTTTTTGAGTGCTTTTTGTGTCACGACCCTTCTTGACCTATGATATACCGAAATACCATTATCATTGATTACTTGTCAATAGCTATGTTTACTGCTGTCAATGTTTTGATCGCATAAACTGTTAATCGTTATTTTACTCGTGCAGCTAGGCTTCGTTAACTGATCCGATCCGTTAGCATGAGGGAGCCTTGAGTTGAAGTCCACAACACATTGACAACTTCAATAGCAGTATTAGATTCGTTTCCGATCGGCCAAAGTCCGCAAAGTCTGCGAAGTACCTTCTATAGTTAAGAAGAATTAACCCTCAGGAGATCCTAGGCCAGTCAATAAGTTTTTAGGATTTGCCATGTTTTCGCGTGCACGGAAAATTCATATTTGGCCTGAGATCCATTATGTGGTGCACAATGTGTTTACTGCAATGATATTGTTGGTGAGACAAGATAAAAGGCTTGTTAATGCTAATACTAGGCTATCGTTAAAAAATCAAATCAATGCATCGAAACAGTCTTTTATTAAAATTGATTGGCATATGATAATTCAAGGGTCAGCAATGTATTTAGCTGCAACGTTACCAGCTGCCTTTTTCCACCACTTTCTTTTTTACCATCTACCAGGTGAATGCCTTTTTCAGATAATTAACCTGAAAAAAATTAGTATAAGCATGGCATTAAGCTTGTACATTTTATAGTACTTATGTGATTACTTAGTGACTATGAAATCTTCTGTAAACTTCTAGGAGAAACAAACTTTTGCTCCGTATGCATTAACAAAAAAATGGAAATAATTCGATTTATTTCATTTGTATTCGAGACTAAAGCTACGCATCGCATCCCAGTCGTTAGCTAAAACAGAGAAAACCAGTTTGACGGCAAGTTTCCCTGAAATCGGTTGTGCTGCACTAGTTAGACAGAAAACGGCTAGCAAAAAGTGTTGAGCCAAAGGATACGCTACCTAGAATATGGCCTGTATTCACACGTCATCCGAATAGGTATTATAGAAAACAGCCATTTTTTCATAGGACAATGCAAATCCAAAATACCGACGACACTACATATCGAAGCAGGTCAGTCCGTTCGAATATTTTTTTGTGATGACGATATGAACATTAGACCTTTATTAGCCCTTATGGACTGTCTGATAACTGGAAACCAATGCTAAATGAACTGCTGCTTGTGTCAGCTTACTTAGAAGATATAACACTCAGTTTCTTTATGTATTCTCCAGCGTTTTTATACAATAGATTCATTAATTTTGATAACTGTGTAATCATTTACAAACCCTGAGTTAAATTATTGTGACAAATATGGTGATCCATTTGAGTCTAAATCTATAAGCAAACATCTTTCATTAAATGTAACTTTTGCTATGACTAGAAAATAGTTCGAATTGCCTTGTACTTTTCGTTTACTTTACCTGTTAATATTCTCTTTGGCTAATTACTAATTCTTTTATTATTAATGCATGTTACATTTTTTAACGCTTGCATACGAATCCGAACAACCAGATTCACTAGTCAGGGTACACTTCAGGGTATGAACCGTTTGCGCGAATCAGTCTTGTGTATCATCAGATTTCTACTGCTACGCAAAGGTGCACTCCATCGACGTCGACAACGGAACATTTAGCTGGCCATGCGATCACGGGGCATGCCTCGGCACTTACGTATGTTTCTCCTGAACACTATTAGCGCTCAAAACCTGTGTGATTCAAGAGGGGTCAATAACAACGATTTTCATACTTTAGCATCGATAGTAAATGTATCTACATAATCAAGTATGAATTTTAATTTATTTGTTGTTTGTGTGCTACGTCCCGTAGTAAAGTCTTTACACAATACTTTGGACGGCTGACTTCCAGCACGAAGTAAAGTGAATCTATGCCCGGACTCGAATCTAAACCACTACATCTTCCTAAGTATAGAAGGCAAACGCGTTACTCACTGCTGTATCACATAAACATGGATTTCAATTCATCGAGACATATGTTGATCATCATAACAAAAATTAAATGAAAATTTACAAACAAGGACTATAGTTTATTAATGGTTATGTTACTTAGTCGTTACTTACATTGTAGACATCAGATCCCTTGGCAACACGTCATCACCGTTGATGATAGAGAGCGGCTCAGAGTTGTGAGCGCCTTTGTGAGCATTCGTGCTTGCATCACTAATTTGTCATATTTGTCGCCCACTGTTTTTGTTGATATCATATTCTAAATAGCTCTAAAATCAACGCGATGACGCCTTACAATGGTAACTGCACTTTTGCTGCGATCGGTAGCGCTGTTCATTACTTGTGAGGATAACCCCAACGGCCCAGAAATGAGAAGCGCACCGTAAAGGATGTATGGATCGAGTAGTTTCTTGAAATACTATTTTAAGGCCAATCGTAAAACTTTGTTTGCCCGTTCAGTCTCTGCTAAAAATATCGAAGAATGAGAGGCGAGTCACTTTCCGCAATATGTCAAATTATGATCACACGCAAAACCTGTCAGAAGATTGCCTTTATTTAGATATTTTTTGAAAAAGTAAAATCAAACCAATAAACTGATCTGAGAAGATCACATGGGTCTTTGAAAGATACAGAAAAAGTAAACATATGGTGTTAATGTTGTAATAAAGGTAACTCCCAATTTATACTAATACAACTAAAATAATAGGTAATGGAAATAAAATAAGTATATATTACGTACAACGCTTCCATTTTACAATTGGCACGGTTTTTATTTGCAGATTTGAGTAGCATTTAGTTAAATGGTCACGTCTTTTGTTCAGGCCTACTCTTCATATCTATGGGTTGATCATTCTGATGAATGAAAGTTCCAAAAAAGAAAAAGCTTTGACGTTGTTCATTGTCCAATTTCATCAAAGCATCACCTATATTTTTTAATCAGAATCGACTATAACTGGCTTCACAATTAGTTCGTGTAATTTAACCCTTCAGTTACTTAAAAACACCACTTTGCAATTACTCGAACCATGCACTACAGTTTACGTACTGCATATGTATAAGAGTCACGAATACCTAGTTCTAAATGTCAAAGAGGATTGCGACAATGACTAAATAATCGTTGCACATATTTGCAATTCAGCCAAGATTTATACATTCATTTTTTTCAACATATAAAATCTTAATTTATACGATAATTATACATTTTATTAACTTAGATATATAAGTCAATGACGGTTAATAACTTTGCAGGCACTGCGACCTCTCGTTTGCAAATTAGTTGTTCTCGGTTGGTCTTTGTCACTCATTATCTCTGGAGGCACTTGGCTTTCTTACATAGAATTGTATTTCATGACTATCGTAGTTGTTTCCAACGGATGAAACCGCGACGGACTGCTTAATAATCTCAAGTTTTTTTTCATTCTCAAATTTCTTAATTGTAAAATGACTACAAATCAAAAGTACTTATATTTAGTTAACACGTGAGAGTTTTATTCCATTTAAAAATCCGGTTCTATCTTCGCGGTTTTTGATACAAATTAACTTGTTGATGTTAGAATCTCTTCACTTAATTGTGTTTTTTTATTCAACATTTATGCCAAATCTAGCTATAACTACAATTCCTTCTCCTTTTCAAGTTCATCGAGTTTCTTTTGTAATTTTTTTTTTCTCTCTGAATCAAACTTTTTAATGAATTGCTGTAACTCTAACCCTCCAGTGAGATGGGCTGGTGGATACAATTCTCGCTTCTTTTCGATCACCCATTTTTCGAAGTATTGCGGCTGGTTAAAGTAATAGAAGAGTACCACCGGGAACGCCATATAGATTGACATCCTAAATGCCTCGATACGCCAACTGCCCATATTATACACAGTTGGTAAAATTAGGTGACTGAACACTAGTTTCGTCGGAGAACAGATGTGATGTCCTGAGTTCGTCAGTAGCCGACTGACTCCGTAAGTGAACTTAAACCCACACGGCTTTGCAGCAGAACAGGTTTAGGCGAACTGTACCCAACTGCAATGCGAACATTAACGGTCATCAAATGGAATACTTATTGTTTTTGGTACAATGCGCGAATCTATAGGAGGTCAAGGAACTGCAGAATTATCCACCACAGCGATTCGAACGTGTTGAACAAAAGCCGTGCCCATGAAAATGACTAGGCATAATTTCGAACTGACAGGGCCTTGTGAGCGCAGAAGTTCGAACTTTGTCCCGGACCTATGTTCAGATGTTGACATTTCACGCTGGGCCTAGATGGCGCGTTTTCAAACTAGAATAAACAAAAGTAAGAATCTATTTGTCACTGAGTTTTTTTTACCGGTTAGGTAGGGTACCTTAATTGATATTATACTGGACAGAATGTTGCTAAAAAAATCTTTTTTATTCACAATACGGCAAATATATGGATTAGGTAATTTGCGTGATTGATCAATTGTGGTCTAAGTTACTTTCAGAACCCATGCATTTAAACGGTGAGAACTTATTCGTTACTGGAGTTTTCATACCGTTTCATAGATCAAGTGGAGAAACTCTAAATTAGAGTCTATCGAGATTCCAGTTAAATTCCCATCCTTGATATTAGTCTGGGGACTTCTTTTTACAGAAAAAAAGTACTACACGTTTATTATTATTATTATTTAAATACATAAACATAACTTTACTACTTACCAGAAATTCTGCTGTCAGAAATATTGGAGGGCCACACAGGTCAGCGGATGAAGAACGGACGCAAACTTTAACCTTTTGTTACTCCACAATAAGGTAATATTGATCTATATAAGTGCATGAACAACTTATATCGACTATATCAATAATAATATATCGAACTATTATAGAAATTAGTGGAAAATTTCTGAACTTATAAAAGAAGGGCACCTCTAGAAGGAAACTCTATTTATACTATTTTAATCATTATTAATTTCATTAATATTTCACTTTGGCGCGCTATAAACGGGTATCTTTTCGAAAATAATTGAAACATGTCTTATAACCTATGTTACTAGCAGCATAACATAAGATTGGTCGACAGCATTGCTATTCTGAACAGCAATTCAAAATGCAGCAATGCAAAAATACCCTGTATCTTCATAATGACTGATGACATAATAATGATTTACTGAGATAACTTGTTCAGCTCGGTCCACCGATAATATGAATCACCGTTTTGGCGTCTTTGTTTTACATACAACTAATTACGATCTTTTAATGGTATGTGTCTACAGATGCGTATTTTGTTGTGCCGTCTCTGCAGTAATAACATCACTAAGTTTTGAAATTTGTCTTCAAAATCGCATTTTTATTCTTTGTAATATTTGCACCACTGTGTTTCATACTGTAAATATATCTAGTGTAGAAGTACAACTTTACGTAAAATTGATAATATATAAGGCGCATGAGGACTGAATGTATAAAAAGGGAAAAATACGTCAAACTCTTCAGGTAGGGCACAACTGGCAGTATGTACATGATAAATACAGACTGTATATATGCTTTGACGCACGCATCAGTATGATTGTGTACATATACAGTTAGTGACAAACGTGTTTAGGTGTTCTGCAGGTGTTATTCTTGCATAGGTTATTTTTTCTGTGGCACGCGCAAATCTAACCTGTCACACATCATTGGAGCGTCATATATTCTATGTAGTACTAGTAGTAATGATATACCAATGCATGAACAATACGTACGTGACACCTACACGTTTCCACCTGCCACTGTATATATAGATTACATTTCTTTGATATATGTATTTTCCAAATGCTAGTTTTGAACAGCATCGTTTTCGCGCAACATTACGTTATACTACCTTTATTGCCAACGATTCTTTGCTGGCATGCATTATATTATATTGTCACCTATTAAAAATTACCTAATTACGAATAGTCGTACCCATATGCTCATCATTTTGTCTAATATGGTCGTGTGAAAGACCTGGCGTCTAAATCGTTATTGAAGTTATGGTAACCTTATATTTAGTTAATGCTGATTGACTGCGTTCTCTAGTAGATTATTTTAATTAACAGTTAAGGATCTGTTTTATTTTTGTTTCCAAAGGTACATTTTTTTTGTGTTTATAGCTAAAATCATTTGCTTCCTAGAAATATGCTTTCTAAATCTATTTTCCCTTTATTCGGTAAACATAGAGCAGTCATAAAAATAAGTCATCATACATCTCTGTCTAAAATTGATAACACCAGGTGACTCCAGTAGCTGCTTGCCCTAGAGGTTTCTGAGCGCCTCGGTCATTTTCGAAATCCATTTTGTGCCAGTTACGACTGCACAATCCATTAAGTTATTTTGCATGCACATACCGTGCCATTGAATCAGATGTGGAGTGCTAGCTATTCAAATCACGATACGATGTAAATACACACCTTCTTTCAAATATGTGTGCGGAGGCTTTTCCCACGATACAATTTTCTTTTGTTACGGCACCGTATTCCTATTGAATTCCGTTTGATTAGTCTGTTACGACGGGCTCAAGTCGGCACATGCGTAGAACCCTACAATTGTATGAATTGTGCTACATTACAAAATAATGATAAATCGACGGCGTTCCAGAAATGTGGGCAAATTATATAGAGATTACCGAATGGCCACTTTCATACGTTCCGATAAATGGTGTACTAGTGTTTGATATCTCTGCATTCGTGCCGATTTCTCCGGTCCATCAAGGCCGTACTGTCTCAAAACGTCCCGTCGAATGCGTTTAACGCTACAAAGATGTTTTGGTGTCCTTCTAAACACTTAGTAAACAGGTGCTCGGATGCCTTGTTCCATGGTATTGGGTGACTGTCCTGTAGCTGCTGCCGTCATCTCTTCACGTGAGGCTTTTCGCCCGAATCCGATAACGGCGTGAATCACTCCAGCCAGCAGAATCAGGCCTGAACTTAATACCAAGGCAAATTGTACCGCAATCAAGAGGGGAATGAGTCCTAATCTGAAATACGAAATGTCCACTTATCATTGTTGTACGGGTGACAACCGGAGAAACGTAAGTAATTTTTAAGGAGTGTAACATTAAAAAGCACGTAAAAACATCTGAAGAGTCGTTGTACATCGTTTGTATACCAGTTTTTATCTATCTATTACAGGATAAACATAAGCAAATTGCTTTAGCTATTTACAGTACGTTCGAAATAAACAAAATTGATGACGTTTTGTTTATAAGCTGCATAAAAATGAAAATCGAGATTCGAATAAAATTACTTAAAGCTTTTTTATTTGTTAATTTAAAATAAGTACCATTTATTTCAGTCACGGTCTAAATTAAAAGCCTAAGCCGTTCTTAAGTCGTTTGCCAAATGCCCTTCTGCAGATTCCCTATTTACTAATAATTGTGGGTAAAGCGATTTTAGCACAACCCGACTTGCTGAGGTTTTGCACAGCAGCCGAAAGAGCAAAAAAATCTGGCTGAGTTGAATTTTGAGCTGATAGTAGACTAATCTAGATGGTTACGGGATCATCGAAAATAGCCTTTTACGCCAACTTGATTAATGCTAGAGTTTATTCCATTCAGTCTCTATTGCGGAGCGTTCGCTTTGCCCCATAGAGGTTTTTCTTAGATTCTCAAGGTTGCTTGTTAACGGGCAACAATGTGTCCTTCGGTTTCGGGCCACATAAAAAGTTTATAATTCTCGTAGAGATCCATATGACACCAAAACACTGGACAGTAACTAAGTGCTCCGAACAGGGGCCTGCTACATCTGTCTCATGATAACTTTGTCAGTTGCTGTAAAAAATTTGGCTTTTTTTGTAGTAAAAAGTACCTGTCAAAACAAGCAGCTTCTCAAAGAGAGTTCTCAATTTATCCGAAACATTGTATAAATCGATAAGCACTCGCAATGAGAAATCCGCGCTTGTTGCGCATAATGTGCAAATATACTTTTGCTATGGCTCACTTAGGTGGGGAAGAAGTGAGCTGACGTTGGTGCTGCACACCTATCAGTCGGTGAGTTACTATAACATCTTACGATACATACACAATATAGAGAATCGCCTTGAAGAACGGTGACTTGTTCTTCTCGAGAAGTTGTCCAGGTCGCTGGGCAAACGACAGAAAGCTGCAGAGAAAAGGAGCCTCGACCAGCGTGACGAATACGCCGATCACTGCCGCCACTATTCCACTGGCCAGGCTCGAACCCGACAAAGTTACTGCCCCTAAAGGCACGGCAAGAGCACCTAACAATATCGACACTAAGGGCGAACAATTATTAAACAGATAAATGTAATCGTTTGTCATTGAGTGGATAGAATTTGAAAGCTCGACGAGTTCCGTTCAATTTTAATAGTGAGATAGATAAGACACAGAAGAAAAAGCTTTGAAATACAACCTTGGAACTAAGAAGGCAGCAAGTTTACCCGATCTGTACATCGTAGTGAGTAAAGCCGGCAACAGCATTCTTTCATTACTGAACAATAAACTATAGAACTGAGCCTGTACGTTTAAATTGCTATCGAGCGAAACACTCACGTAGACCACCGAGAGTCGCGAGCACACGGGCCCCGTAGCGAAGGTACCAAGGCACACTGTCCTCAGCGTTGATTTCCTGTGCATTCGGAAGCGCCTCCCGAGGCAAGTTCTTCATAAAGCCCCCTTGACTCATCTTGTAATATTCACGAAACTGACGAGAAAATGACAACAAATAAAGCTTTAAATGAATTAGCGAAAAGTTAAGCATATATGCAGACATCTATAAAGAAACATTCGAATACATTTTTTTCTCCTCAGTAATACTCTATATCAAGAGAAATAATTAATGACGAGCGTGTTTCCGATTACAACTGGACTCAGCAGGGGCACCAGATCTAATGGTGGCTCCTACTGGATTTTCTAACGGGCCATAGAATAATAAAAGCCACAAAAACAATTGGTGTTTTATAAGGTTGAGTCTGTTCAATGAAGTCAACATCCGAAATATTGCAGAATATTTTGTTAGCTCAAATTTACACATTTTGATGAATAATAATATTTTCGTACGGTGACGTATCGTTGCCACCTTTGGTGCACACACGGCACGCCGACTGACTTAGCACTTTTACTTCAAGGAATAACGAGTGTCTCTCGAATTAGAACCACATTAGGGCTTTGTACAACATTGAAAATCACAAGTCAAACATGCCCTTACATCTACTTGGGGTTAAGAATAGGCAAATCAAGTAGATTGATATTAACGATGGGCAACTACTCAAATAATTCTTTCTCAGAAAAATGTTCCCGTAATAACGCAGTGTTTAATGTGGTTGATATCTAGGTTAAAAGAAAAACAAGCGGTACTTCGGGTTTGGGTGCAGACGTACTTTGTTTGGTGCTGGGACCTTGTTGTCCGAAGGAATACCTGACAGCTTAAGTACTGGATGTTAAAAACACGAAGACTCAGTCCAATTACGACTTATCGGTCCGCGAAAATTATCTATTACTGAGTATGACTAACCAAACAACGATGCAATGTTTCAATTAAATAACTACTAATCACATACTATAAAAGCTTCAGATACTGCCATGATTAAGTCATTTGTGCATACAGAGATAATTTTATACTGAGCATAGCAGAATGAGCTGGTATTTGTGATAATCTAGTCGGAGCAAGGATTTTCGAATCACCGAAAAGTATATTATGTAAGCTCACTAAACAGGTACGTATAGATTATTCTAAGAAATCTTCAGCATTAGCATAGTATCTAGTGCTTGTCTAAGAATGCTTAGAAAAAACATGTTAAAGGATGTCCCCATGAATCAAATATGACTTCAATCATAATATTTGAAGGATTTCACTTATGTACGTTTAGTTAGGTGGGGACTACACAGGGTATATAACGTAACACAAAGCAAAAAGTGACTTGACCATACATTTTCTAGAATCATCAAGGTAGTTTTATTGAATACCGAGAATGTATTTCGGATAAAAAGAAACATCTTCTGTTGATGGCACCGTAGCGCAAGTGAAAATTAGTCAAACAGTAAAACTTCGTTCGGTATACGGTATTACAGTCGTAAAATACAAAATCAATCAAAATATTGTTCGCAAAATATTTCTTTTTTGTTTTCGCAAAATAGTTTAAGGTGCATGGCAGAGATGGTCTAAAAATGAAGAGTTACTAATTACTCTTTTGCATACACGCCAAATATACGCGTACAATTATCACTAAAAACGTTTGAATCTAGGTCGTTGGTTCTTCCTTGTTGTTACTATCTAGATAAAACATACAAACGATTTGATTTCTACTAGTGTTTTTTTGCTATCCTGCAAATGAATATTCGTTTGGATATTTTCTCGCTTTCACTAATTCACACTGTGTCATTCAGTTAGGAGCAGTAGCAACGATTCACATCAACTATGCTATATCCCTATTAGACTTGGTCTACTCACGGGTTGCTTAAGATTGACTCGAACTTGGTGTAGTACAAACGATGATCAATCAACACGCCCCCCCTTTTACAACTCTGCTGGGTCATGAAGCCCACTTAGAGCTTACTGTGTGCTCGATCCGATACAGGATCACGCTCCCATTGCAAAACTACCAAATTTCCCTGGCCAACAGATAGACAAACGTTCCATAGGCCTAGTACTTGAACACACTGTCGTTGAAGGAAAACCATGTTTGCATATGTACTAGCTAGATAGGTTAACTACACTCAATGTAATTTTGTAGCCGGACATAGCGACGAAGTATTCGGTAGCTGAATATATATTCTAGGTACAATGATACACTTCTACGCACACGCGGGTGGACGTGAAAGGTCTGTTCAGCTTTATGCTGGGAAGGCGTATAAGCAAAGGCTATGTAAGCATCGATTCAGTTGCCTATGTCTATCACAGTGACGGCTGTTACGATACGCCGATACAATCACGCCGTCGGCGTGGATGCAGCAGCAGCAGCAGCAGCGTCAACTAGTTCAAAGGACTACCGCTGTGTTCGCGCGACGAAAACGTAACTCAGCCGCTATGACAGCATCATTGTCAACGAGAAAGTTTTCTCTGACACACACTCTTTCCAAGACACTCATCCGATCGACTACAAATCAGAATGGCATTTCTAGTGTATATCAGCCTCCTCTAAAGTAGACTGTCATTATACAACATCGAGCTAACTAAAATCCCACAGCATCGAGACCGAGCGGAAAAAGAGGCTAAAGCGGAGAACAAGGCTAATCTATTATGTTAGGTATAATGCGACGGCAATGTGGCCGTCGTAATCTGGCCGCAGTGGTCGGGTCCTTTCCCATTTATACTGCATTCTTGGATTCCGTAAAGCTGACTGGAGCTTTCTTAGCCGCTGATCCGTCATTGGATACAAAACGGGTGCGAGAACAGGTCGGTGCTATAGTTCAGAATCAACGCTTCAGCAGACATGCTGACCAACTCCCAGAGCGCACCAATACAGGCAATACGTCAACACAGGTTAAAGAGTTAACGCGTCGATATGTGACGCAAGACCTATGAAACTCACCCTGTATGGAGACATTCGACATCAAAGAAACAGAAAACTTCAAAGAAGCACATCCGGCTCATAGATTATGAAAGCAGTTAGGCGAACAGTCATTTTCAAGATAATGTCTCGGAACTCTTTTTCGAAGTGCAGTCGAAAAAATTGTGCTTAATGGAACGATCGTGAACACAGAGAGTAAGCGAGCGACAATCAAGACGACCAAACTTGGTGCTAAGTCGGTTACCCAAAGGATATTCAGATTTATTTCATTTTCAGAAGGAAATTATTTATAAGCGTTTTTCTAACATAGAGACAACTGTTGATTGTCATTGATACAACAGAGTGAGAAAGGTCAAACTTGGAATGATGCCGTACGTAAATGGCATTTGCAGATACTGATAAAAAAAGAATGACTTTCCTGCTATATTTCTATATGTTGTATTCGTAAACCAATGCTGATTGGAGATCTTGATTCTACTGTGGTTCAAATTCTCTCACATTAGGCTGGGTAGGGAGAAGGTAACTTGGGGCGGCGTTTTAATAATGCCTGCACACTGGGCTTCAATAGTCGAGCGAAGGTGAACGCGGTATAGACAAGGCAGCTCGGAGGGGTCTAGTGTCATAAGCCATGGCTTAACGGTAGACTTTATTGAAACTGCGAACATAATAATTGTCAAAGCTCGAATCCAATATCTGCACTGCGGTTACGGTAACGTCTCTCCCATTTGTCAGGTGTATGTGCAAGTAAATCGAGTATAATCGCTATATTATACGTTTGAAATATGCTAAACACTTAAAATTAGGCCAATTGGGTATTTGCTTAAGATTGTGAAGCGTGCATAATCTATAGGTCTGCATTTAATGAGTCTTTTCTCAGCTTCCCATCTACAAGATGGCTGTATCAGATATACAATTAGGTAAAAAAAAACAAATAAAAATGTGATTCTTATCAGTCACTATCGAACTACTGTATTCTAAAAACGAGATACAGTACCGTTGTTAATGGTAATCGAAACCTTTCATATACGGAAGGTAGATAACTGCCCAAAAGTTGACCTGCATGTGTATCAGTCAGACAGGTCTGTAGTAGCTGAATCTTGTTCCCTAGTCGAACCAGCTTCAACTGCCCTGCGCAAAAGTGCGCAAAAAGGAGCATGCGCATTGAAGAACTTTAAGCATTTTTGATACGAAAACATAGCCTGCACACGCAGTCGAGTAAAGAGGCAAATATCGATTCGCGCCCATTTGAATAGTTGTGTGTGGTCTAGATGGCAGTCTGACCAAGCTAATATATAGGCCGCAAGCTCCACAGTGCATGCACCTACCACAATAGCATTCATGTACGCTTTTTAATGTCGTAACGCTGCGTAATCTCGTGGTCAATGACTCAAGAGATATTGTTATCGACTCGGGTTATATAGACCAAGCTGTATTGTATATATTTATTTCATAGGCAAATTGAGTATGAAAACATATGAAATCGCTTTCGGTGGATGTAATCTAAACAGACAAGTCTTGATAAAATATGCAGTAAGAGTGATCTGTTACAGCCAATCGGATCATTATTATTAGTAAATTATAGAGACGCTTGGGAAGTTTTAGCAAGCAGTGTTTAATAGTTGCTGGTTAATTAATCTAATTAAATGGCTAATTTTTGTGTTGTAATGTGTGAATTTGAAAAGTCATTAACCAGTAATTTTCTGGAAGTGCCTCATCTCATATAACTTTAAATGTCACGAGCATTCGACGTACAATAGAGTTACAATATATAACGAAATTTGATGCATGAAGAGCATTTGCTCTACCATAGGTTCGTAGTTCGAACAAGTTTAATTTGAGTGTCTAGTCTGATTGATTTATTACCGAATAAAACTTAGTAAAAATCAGTAAACTGAATATAATGGGACGATGTTTTAAGGTCAGTTGCTACAAATTAGCTTCATATCCTATCGGTCGCTTGTTCTATCTTTTTCACTTATTTAGGGTCAATCATTTATTTATGTAGATTAGAGCATTATTCTCTCGAGATTAATACACCTACTATGAAATTTAAGCCGGGACGATTTTAAGCAACTCTGACGGTCCCGTAGATTTCTACATGTTTGACTGTTACTAATGTAACAGTCATACGCATGATATACGATACTATATTAATATAATAATACGATTCAAAACTTAAGCATATTCATCAATTCTGATGAGCAAATTAACTTTTTCTATAAAACAAGACCTGCAACGATGGCGTTACTTCGGTCCCCAAATAATAAAAGTTACAATTTCACAAATCTCTATATTGTTTTTTTGCAATGTAACTCTTGCGGTGCGTAAAAGACATCTTTACTTTTCAAAAGGTTTAAAGGATAGCGTTAAAATTAGTGCGCATTTTATTGAATCCATGACTGGCAAAAAGGAATAACTGAGAGAAGCTTTCAAATCAATGAAGAAAAGCACGGACCAAAATTAAAACTGTTGGATTCAACCTAAATATGTATTGTGCTCCGCAAACGATCTCCCGGTCATAATTCACACTTTTTTTAACAATGGAGACGTCATTTGAAGGTTCAGAATAATGAAATTAATGCTACCGAAAACTTATGCTTTGTTCTTCTTAACCGTTATCTATTCAAATTCAGGGAATTGCTATATATAATGAAAAGGGCAACCGCTTTGAAGAGAAATTTTATCTTTGAACGAGTTCATCAATCTGTTTATGGCACTATATCTTGAATTGATTCTACCAACCTTGTCAAAACCGACGAGCACCAGTGTATCAGAGAATTTCCCTAGAATAAAGGATTAGCTTGGTAAAAGAAGAATTTTCCTTTTATCAACGTTCATTAAAGACATACAATGTTTGACCTTAGCGTATTTTGCCTGTTTTGTTGATCGCACAATTATTCCGCGTTGTGTATCGAGGGCCGCCTTCTGACAACGTCGCACCACCTGCATGCTGCGTAATCGGCGTTGTGGTGTTCTCTAGACAGCAAATCGAAGCAGCATCGCAGCTGACAATCATCTCTAACGTCAGCCCGAAAGCTTGATATTCTACCGTTGAACTACCACTTTTACCATTATATCCTTGGCGGCCAACCACTTCACTAATTTGAGCTTATCTCGTGTTTAATTGCCTATCGACTGCTAAGTCGCAAATCATCTTCACTAAGATTACCAGCCATACGAATATTACCTTGCAGAGTGGGTTAGCCAGGTGTCACACTATATAGTTCGCGAACTATATTTTTGAGGCAGTTCGAGTGCTCTAGAAGGACACTGGTGGGCAGTAACTTTCGCACGCCGATTAGTCCGTTTGCTGGGTGTTCGGTTAAAGCCGCATCACATAGGATGCCTGTTATGCCTACCTGTGGGCTTCAAAAAATTGTTGGCTGATCCTATTTCTCAACACAGTATACGAATAGCGGCAACTTTCCCGACGTTTAGCGGTGGCGTTCATCAACAAAGTAACAAGTTCCCATGGTGATGATGATGTTGCTACCTTGACGGGGAAAGGTAAGAGATTAAGCAATTTTTTATCACACTTATGTGCGGAACTCGTTATAGGATAGGCACCCCCGATGCAACAGGTGAGTGTTTGCTGAGGCGCGCTCCAAATGGATACGCAAAGGGTTTGAAGGTTGCCGCCAGTAAGGGTTAAGACTCGAGTTCATAGCGCACTTATTGGTTAGAAATCACTGGTAATCAGAAACCATATCATCATCACGGTTTTGGTAGGTGTGGAGCGGAATAGAGCCTTCGAGAACGTTATGTTGCAGCTTGTATAGTATGTTAAGTAGACTGGAACAATCACCAGTATAGTTCATAAATGTATATGCACACAGCATATCGGCAATATATCCTACTGATTCAAAAATGCAATATACGATACGCTACTGGATTTAAAATTGGCCCTCAGTCGCTTTTTACTCAAACAAAGTGATGCGTTCCGTCGTTTAGAATGTAGAATCTCTAGAACTGATCGGGTTCGTCCGTGTTTTAAGTTCATCCCGCCTTTTCCGCGGCGCCATCTTACCGTGGGTGGCACGTGGCGTTTTCCTGAAAAAAACTGGTGAAAATTACAATTTTCTCATCAGATTGGAGGTGCTAACCAGTGCAGGATGGTTAAGGGCAAGGCTGTCGTTGCCACGAAGTTGGCTTCTGGCGTGAAGCCCAGCGCAGATACCATTAAAAAGGATAAAGACAAGAACCCGATGAGGGACATCAAGATCCGAAAGCTCTGCTTAAACATTTGCGTTGGTGAGTCCGGCGATCGTTTAACTCGCGCTGCCAAGGTGTTAGAACAACTCACGGGCCAAACTCCAGTGTTCTCCAAGGCCCGTTACACAGTGCGATCCTTTGGTATCCGTCGTAATGAGAAGATTGCTGTCCACTGCACCGTTCGTGGTGTCAAGGCCGAGGAGATCCTCGAAAAAGGACTGAAGGTCCGCGAGTACGAGCTGCGCAAGGATATGTTTTCTGATACCGGTAGGTTTTGTGGGCACATCTTCTGTAACTGACAACAACCAGAAGTGTGCTATATTGTCTCAAGAAAACACACCATAAGTTCAAGGAGTGAGCAAGATTACAGCATAGATCATGAAGAGTGTGTTGTGGTAAAGCCGAAGTTGCTTTCTTCAAAACATTACGAAACGCAGGGGCCGGCGTGATTTTCTTTGAGTTCTTATGGTCATTGTTCTAGGAATGTATGCGTCCTAGTGTTCCAGTTGGTAAACAGATCTCAATGGAGTTGTGTTTGCGGTGGTCACCTCAACGAAAAATAGTATTTGTAGATATTGTGTTGCCGTTGCAAAACGAGATCAACGTCACTCGTAGTACTTGTTGTTAGATCTATATTATCAACGCGATAGGACACACGGTCATGAAAAAAGAGTGTCTTATGAATCTCGGGAACATGTTCTTTTTACATGAGAAAGGAATCGTACTTGCTTCAAAAGCTGTGGGATCATAATTTGCATAAATAGTTTGCTTCTATTTGCGATCATTATAGGATTAATCATATATGTTTTGTTAATCGTGGTTTCAGAAGCAAGAAGACTACTGTGGAAACCAGCGCATCAGCTTGCATTGGGTGCTTTTCGTACCCAATGCAAGCTGATGATTTCGTAAGTTGAACGGCTTAAAGGCCTTCAACTTCTTGTCGCTAATGTCAATTCCGTTTGACCAAAGTGCAATAAATTATTTCATCTCATTAACTTATATTTTCTTGTATCTTGTACGTTTCCGCTTGCTATAATGCCGTTCGGTCTGTATTATACTACATAAGCTGCATGTGCGTTAGGGTCAGCTCTAGAACACAGTAGAACAGCAAGTTTGGAAAGCTACGTAATTTCAAGCTTGGTTGTAGCCAAATTTATAAAATCTTCATCAAAAACACTGAAATTACCACAACTCACAATCCGAAGATTCGCAGACGAATACGCAACGAATATAATGGATGACCATTCTTGCACATCAGTGTACCAAAAGCGATTATTCGATGTGGGTCTGTCTATACAAACACTACCTACGTGCTGACTTGTACATGATTTTTGTTGGATTTCAATGTTGGCTGTCCATAGGTAATTTTGGCTTCGGCATCCAGGAGCACATCGATCTGGGAATTAAGTACGATCCGTCAATTGGTATCTACGGTCTTGATTTCTTCGTTGTTTTGGGTCGCGCCGGTTACAACGTGCCCCACCGTCGGAGGAAGACCGGCACAGTCGGAATCCAACACCGTCTAACGAAGGAGGAATCAATCAAATGGTTCCAACAGAAGTACGATGGTATCATTTTGCCCCCGAAGAAGAAGTAAACGGGTGAAAACCAATCCAGGTCCACATACAGCAGACGACCCGTTTACGCGGAAGACCGTTGTGGACTTTTTTTCGATAAAGAAATAAGGGATGGTTGATAATGAAAAAAAGATGTATGGTGTTTTTCTTTCAATCTATCGCATTATTTTGGGTATTTAGTGGAGGTATCATGCTAGACGTATGTATACGCTTTAAACTGGGCTTGCTGAACAGAGACGCAATTGGACATTGGGGGAATTACTGTCGACGACGTAAATACCTACGGATGAAACAGCAACTCTTAAAGGGTATGTTGTAATTGTCCATCGTTTATTTAGAAAATGTGCACCCTGTGCGTGGACTATTTCATAGCTGTTCTGGTAAGCTAGTTACCAATTAAGTGCAATACTATGGTTATACATGGTATATATTTGGCTGGCAAAACCGCACATTTATGATTAAGTAAAATTTTTTTATAGCTGTCACTATCTCGATAAGTGACTAAAAACGAAAGCATTTTTATTTAAAATTGATTATAGTATTGTAATAACATTACCACAAAAAGTATTGCTCATAGGTTGGAAAGTAGTAATGTTAACAATGGGAATAACATATCCATGCAATGCTACACTGCTTATAAAAGATGGTCGCTAGGAAACTGTTTTGTTCCACGAAACGTTCGGCATCAAATGTGTCAAGTGACGGGGCGTAGGCATAAGGCGTAATGTTGATATATAGAGGTATGTCAACACACGCATTGACTCGAGGTCGACATCGATTTTAGACAAACTCCAACCCATTAGTGATACTGGATTTAGATCAAATGAAACGTGTATTATTATTACGTTATTTTTCAAAGGGTTGTATATATATAACACCTTTCCTGGGTTTGCGTAAGTTTTAGGCCGGATGGTTAGGATAGTTACATTCAACCCTTCTTGTTTCGGTTTATGCCGCAACTTGGTCCACAGTTTGAGGGCCAAGTACGATTAAATCAACGATATTGATTTTTTACAAAACCAACAACGCTCATTAGTGTGCTTCTACTATTCCTTGTGTAGTTTGCGGTCTTTGTGATATTTTGCGCACTCATAATTTAGTAGCATATCCCTCAATGTAATTGTTGACGAAATAGTTGAAAAAGCCATCGCCTTCCGTCACCGCCGTCAGCTGAAATGAAATTAACGAACATAAGTGTGATTCCACACAAGTTATGCCAATGCATACATAAAGAGCCAATTAATCTAAAGACGTATGACTGATCATTAGATCTATCTAAGATATACAGTAGGGGCAAAACAGTCTGAAAGGGAACATGAACAAAATCAACCCCACAATACGATACACAAATAACAGGTACTGCCGATATTAAAGGTCTAAACCTTAAAATAGTCTGCGTTTTTGTATTTAGCGGTTCAGTGGACTGTACACACGGCTAATGTTCAACTTAAAACCTAGTCTATGAAAATCCTTGTATTTATTTTTATTATCATATCTAATATAAACATTTTTAAATAACCCTGACAGCCTAACAAACTGCTAAGTTCGCATTAGGTCTCTCCTACATATATTATAATTTTATAGTTAGTTTTTAGTTCTATTACAAACCTGAAATCCGAAGCGCAATAAAGCTGCTTTGGTATTGCGATTTATATTGCAACCGTCGTAATAAATTCGCCAGAATGGATTAAGAACGATTTGAAAGATATAACGTTTGCTGTAAGCGGTGTCAGCTACATGTTCAAAAAAGTAGAAACGCCCACCCTGTAATTTAATTTCGAATTAGTATTGAAACAGTTTACATGTGAAGTCCTACATACATAAATGCTGATATTGAGAGGACTCATAATTTGAATAGGTTTCATAATATCGTATCAAGCTTAGTATGACTATGTAGAATAGACGCAGCAGATGACGAGACCTTGACGAGAACTCGTTGAACCTCCTGGAGTGTTTTGTCAAGGTGGCGCACTGAGCAAAGAACCAGCGTACTGACAACAGCATCGATTGACTCGTTGTCAATGCTTGAGAGGTCTTCAGCACCTCCCAAAATTATGCGTTTCAGATTATGGTATTTTTTTTGTTTCTTCAGAAGTAATTCTACGAAGTATGGATTAGGTTCCACTGCTACAACGTAGCTATCTGTAAGTAAATAACGACAGATGTAATAATTATCCTTACTCCAACCACTCAGTGCACCCCTGTAGTACATATTAAATGATATTAGCAAAATGAACAAGTTTGTGGTAAAAGAGACATTCACGGATCCAAGCACATGCCTTTTAATTGGAGTAGCTGCTGCTATGATTAACTGATCAGCGATCAATAGCTTGCACTCAAATAGTGCGGTTGTGCCTATTAAGCCACAACCAAACCGGAAGACATGCCATAGCTCTTTCTTCATCTGACTATCTTTTTAGTCGATAATAAATCCAAGAGCGAGAACAAAAAACATGATGTTCAAGCTTCTATCTAAAGCTACTGGCGGTAAGTCCTACGATTTTCCTTGACTTATTTGTGACGAATTCGGATATATGAGATTCGTAGAAACATACATTTTCAACGTACCTTCCGAAAAAAAATCAAGGCTGGATCCAGGTCCCATGCCTATTTCTAGAATACGAAGCTCGCCATCCTCGCTACCTTGCCGACTTCTGACGTTCTGTTTGATCATGAGATCTTTCATTGACTCCCGGAAGTTCAGAAGCGCATGGTCGATGGCTATAAGGACAACCTATTATTTGCAATACTAAATTTATGTTTAGCTGTTATAATGGTAATGATAATAATAATAATAAGAATTTTAGATATTAAATACATGTGCTCGATATCAACATTGGTGACTTACCGACTAACTAGTGCTAAACTAAATTATTTATATCCAATTATGTACATTCCATAGTACTACTATATGGAAATATTATGATTTGATTGATTCAGTACATAGGCTCTAGTTAAGGAAAGCGCTGTTTACTTAGCTGTTTGGAAAAAATGTAGCATATTTGGATGATAATCAAATGTCCTTTCTGAAGAGAAGTAGAAATTAAATATACTTGTAAAACAATAACCGATCACCGTATACATTCAGCAAAAGCATACCTTCAAGGTAAGTCTCGGTGTATAAAAAGAAAAAATGGCGATCAAGTCGATCTTTGATATAGCCGCGAAGAACATAGTAGCTCATAAGACCAGCGATGGAAATGACGACATAGCGTCGACTTTGAACCATAGATGAACGAAGTTTCGGTATATAAGCTAGTAGCTGAGAAAGTGCTTCTCTGGTTGACGACATTCCGTATGCCATCTGCAATTACCCAAAGATCGTCTCATTACTGATTGAAGAGAAACGTACCCTTGCAACGTTTTGGGTAATGATTGCTTATACAGCCCGCAGTATGCTGAATAGAAAAGCATGCATGCTTTACCTTTTAAATTACAACGCTAGCATGTTTCATGCATATTCAAACAAGAATTAAACTATATTACGTTGCATTTGGCCTGCACTAAATCTAGTGAAAACATCAACGGTACGATATAATAGAGAGGATAATAATAATAATAGGATTCAGTATATTATTCTTATTTTTTAACGCATGATAAATAGTACAGTATACATACGGTCATTCGGTCTTTGTTTTAGCAATGCCTCAAAAACAGCTTACATCTATTACCTTGAAGGTCATACGTCTTCGTTCAAGAGTAAAAAATAAACGAAACATAAATACACATGAACATATTGATCAAACCACAAAATGTGAGTCAGAGAAAAAAAAATGTGCAATCGGCGTAAAGACGCGCAACATTTAGTTAAATTCTAAAGCAGTCGCTGTCGTTTAAGGTGGTTGAAAAATGAATCTCCTCTTCTTCTTTGATTTGTATTCCATTCTGTTTTGCGCGGGAATTTCGAAAAAGAAAATGATATGGATAAGAAAGGATACTATATTTGAAATTAGTAAAACATTACTTGAGACCGCCATCCCCTTCCAGCACAAAGCGAAGTTCTTCTACGCCCGGCTTTGAACCTCGACATCATATGCTTAACTTTTGTACGCAATCACGTCATTTTTGGGCACCACGTATCTAGAATAGAACACTATAGGATATTACCTTATCACGAAAAAGCGACACACTAGCAAGGAGTTACACTAGAAGCAGAGAAATCATACGAACGCAGAACTAGGATTACGAATCGTATATATACATATATATATATAGCAAGAGCTTTTCACTCATCTTTTTATAAACGTAAGGTGAAATCTATGTTAAATGGTAAATGAAATAATCTACAGACATTTATATTCCATATGACGTTATTACCTTAATATCTGCTACAAGCGCGTCCTTATAAAAACCATCTTCTTTCAAGGCCATTCGCCTGATTTAGATGTACACTTTGCATAACCCTGTCATGTACAATAGAAGCTAGGGTCAGTTCGAAAGAAACTACAATGGAGGAAACGCCCCTCTAGACAGTTCTGCTATTATACGCCATCGACAGGTAAATGCTCATAATTATGTCCATAATAATTTATCGACTAAATGGAAACAATTAGGTTGCAATATTGAGTGCCGTAATCGAGACTGGACAGACGTAAACTTGGAAGACAACTTTTAGCCAGCGAAGCGTGTCGAACTAGTCTGCCCGTGGTTCTATTAAAAATACGAGGCACTCAGGTTACAGTTTCAGTATACGACTCTCGTTAATAACTAGCAACAGGTACAATGGAATTTAATAGAAACAAGTGAATTGGGATAAAAATGCGAACACACTATATTACTTCATCGGAAAGCGAATTGGCTCCGAATCGGTAATATCTCGACAGTAGCAGCATGAACGGCGCCTTATCGATGGTCTCTTAATCCACTGATGTCTCGACTAAAGATATCTCGACAGTTGCATTATAAAGCTACAAATGCATCCCATAGGTGACGAAATTTACAATAAGTCAAGAGACCCATGGTAGAAGCACAGTAGTCGGCCGGCCTACTGAATTGAAGGTCCTGCTAAAAGGGCTTCCGATCGTTTAGTGAGACTTTTTACCTCAGATGGACTTAGTAGTCCCACCCGCGGGTTGTACGCTTTCCTGTAAGTCTCGGCGAGTTTCTTTTCAACCCATTGAATTAAAATACATACCTATACAAAGGATGCATAACGTCTCTGGTCCACTACATTATACAGGTACTTTTCTGCGCTGCCTGAATGAAATGTTAGGTAGAACAAAAACACTAAACTAATACTACCTGAGCATCAAATAAGTAGTTTTGCCAAATGTTTGGCTTTTATTAGAGATTTACAGAGATGCTGAAGTGCACACGTATACACGCACCGGATGGCTGTAACTAGCGGTGTCAAGAAATTTCCAAGTCCTAGAACTATCAACGGTATACCGTGCCAGTGTATTCATTCCCTGTCTATACAAACTTTGCTCTCCGACTACTTTTATTAGCGTGATTTGTAGTCTGTCTCCTAGATTGGCAAGTATGATACCACGAAAAGGTATCTGCTTGGCGTCGTGCACCTAAGTGTTTTATGACCTTGGCTACTGGTGCGAATTTGATGACATGGTTTTATAGTAACCGTGACAGAAATAACAATGTCGTGAAAGCATAGGTATTTAACTTAGGTATACAAATCTACATATAGTAGATATAAAAATAAAAATATAATCTACACGCTCTTATTTTTAACAAAACATAAGGAACGATCCTCCACAGTAAAAGAATACACAGTTATGGATCTACCAAAAACCGTGCCCTGACGGTGTGAAGATAACGATTGAAGGCATCAACAAAAGTTCAAAAGTTTTTAACTGAAGCACAAACATGAGTATTGATCAAATAACTAACGCCGGGAGTAAGGTTTCTGAAGTCCTAAAAAGGAGGATACTTCAAAAAATACAATTATTGTATTAAAGAAACTAGGCAATATCGAAATAAGCACATCTACTCCTGTCGTAAGGCCGTTTTAAGGTTATCCCAAATTTCTTGCAGAGAAAAGAGCAAAAAACTTTTTTTGTAGGATTGAAAATGACACACGATATTTCTAGTAGATAATAATGTAGAAAATCTTTATTCTAAAAAGTGTCACTGGTATATTGTATAGCTTTATAGCCAGGGTTTCCAATATGTTTAACTGACTAGTAAAATTCGTATTGCGAATTTTTCTTTGCTTTGAAAAATTTTTTGTCAAAAATAAAAATTTCTCTTCCACGTTTTGTTGAATACTGCCTCGTGGAGATTAACCGTCTCAAATGGAAGAGTCTCTAAAACTATGACTGATCACGTAAAAAATTCTTCTTCGGCTCTTTAGCGTAATATTGGGTGGACGATACAACGAATAGTGTTAATAGTTGTGCTACATATACCTATCGCCACTGTATTCCAGCGTTAAAAAAAAGAATAAAAGATATATTGGTTACTTTCTATTTTATTTGATTTATATAACATACTCGAAACTCCTTATGAACAGCAAAAGTTAGAGAAAAAATAATAAGCGAAAAATCATGACTGTACAATTTCTTCTTATATTTTTCGAGCAGGTGCCACTTAGGTTCTCTCTCATACTTCTATGCTCCTTCCTAAAGAATTGCTACTTTGGTGTCTGCTCCCCCGATTCTCTCAGATTGGTTTGACACTAACGGCAGAGGGGAAAGAGGACCGTTCTACCAAGCGACTAATTTCTGGCAAAATTTACCGGTTATGATAATACTTCGTCGGACTCTTTTTGTCCTTTTCTTTTTTTTTTTTTTATCACCAATCGGCTTTCTTTTAGAGGATTAAGGAGAAAAAGTGGCCGAGCCTTTTTTATTTCTCATTCGTTTCATCTAGATGGAATCGTAAAGCTTTGCCTAAACTTCTAATTTATATATAAACACGACAGCTAGCGAGCTATGTAGCTGATATATTTCTTTAACTTAACTGAAAGAAAATCAATATTATAAAATACTGCGCGATTTTGTAAAAAAAGTTTAACATTTATTGTAAATCGTTCGTTTTTTTTTGATCGGGGATATATTACAGGGCCACGGTGTTCGCTAGCAATAAGATAATGTCTTCTGGTGTGTCTTTAATAACATACCATCACAACAAATATAGCATATTAAACGTTTCTAAATCACCTAGTTTTATGTTGTTGTATTTTAAGTGAGTCATTTTCAGCATTTGGTTACATACCCTCTAATATGAGAGCTAGTTAGGTAGGTGAAGAAATCTACGTCGTGCTGGACATTCGTAAGCTAAAAGGAAAATATAAAAACTCGTTAATATGACGACATTTGTGGGAAGTTGAGTGATAACGCTCACGCACGATGCACACATGTTCTGCTGGTGTCGGCCAGTTTAAATATTATGGATTTTCTGCTTATCAATGGAACAATGTAAAATTGATTATAAATACAAACAAACTGTGTGAGACGTTAATCTCCTTGCCAACATCTGCCCCAATCAACTTGAACTGGAGACCTTTCTAGAAGCAGCGGAAATAGAATTCACTCTTGTACTTAAAGGAAAAAATAAATCGCTTTGGAGTGCCAATAGCTGCAAGATTTGCTAAATAAAACGTAAATCTATTCCAGAGATAAAATGCAACTGAGTCTCACTTTATATGTCAAAGTGTTCAATCCGTCCGAATTTAAGAATCAATCACGAACTCAAATTATTCTCAAGACGGAGTCCTTTTTAGAGACGTTGTCGCTTTGTTTGAAATTGTCTATGCAGTAAGCAAACTGGACTTTTTTGCAAAAAAATATGATAAGAAAAATCAGGCTTTTATTCTACCTGGAATTCATGACGGAGAAGGGATGTCTTGACGTCGCGAGAGATCTCACAGCCGTCAAAAAGAAAGCGCCAAAAGGGATTCAAAAGACGCTGTGCTAAACGGCGCTTGAAGTCGAAGCTGTCTAGCACATGTTCGAATAGGTACAATCGTCCGCCCTGTAATTAATTAAATTCACGTAGTTTGGTAAGCTTTTTAGTCGACTTTCGATTCGACTAGTATCATTTCAACTTAAGGTAATGTTAAGGCTACTATAATCTAAACAAGTAAAACAATTTGCGTGCACTAGGCTTAATAAGTTACAGTTTGCACTCAAATCGAACAGAGAAACTTCCCGCGGACAACTGATAGACGAGCCTGGGTATTATAGGATTAGTCCCGCCGCATTATTTTGTCACTCAAACTATTTCCATTGTGTCGCTCAAAAATCAGCAGAACGAATTTATCATTGGCACTTAATCTACCAATCATAGACGTCAAGTAAGCTCCACACTAAAATTATAGTGTGGAGTTACGATTTTTTATACTTCAACTTAAATTAAAGTTGAGGTATAAAAAATCGTAAGCTGTACGTTGCCTAAACATGCGAGATCGAAACACACGCCAACTACCTTAACAAGGACTCGTTTCGCTTCTTGGACAGCCTTATCCACGTCACGCACAGAACAAAGAACAAGAGTGCTGACTACAGCATCGATAGATTCGTCTTGTATATCCGCGAGATCTTCGGCATAACCTCGGATTACTCTTACAAGTTCAGGGTGACTTTTCTGTTTTTCCAATAAGGTGTCGATGAGGTAGGGGTTTGGTTCAATGCCTACCACGCGGCTACCTGAAATGTATGGAAAATTGGGACATTATACAAACAAAAGAAAGGTAATGAACATTTATCTGATTCTGGGCCACTTTGCACCTGATGACTACTTTGGTGTTTATGTTAACTGCCTTTTTCAAAAGTGTTAATGATGTTAATTCTCAAAGAAGCCACAAGCCGGAGAGCTGAATCGAAGACAAGCAGGAGAAAAGATTTACTTTTGGGGTAGCAGTCCAGGTTGAAGCCAGATCCCATACCAATCTCTAGAATTCGCAACCTTGTATCATTGTGTGGCTGGGGATCTTGGCAGTGTTGTCTTGACAGATGATCCTTTAACTCTTGACGAAAGCCGCCGAGTGTTTTTCTAAATACTGCACCGGAAAAAGCAGAAATATGTCACACACAATCATTATGACCATATGTAAAAACGACTGAAATCTTTCTGTATATTCACCTATACTTTTGTTTATCTATTCCATCACAAACATTGTTTAGTTGAGGTCAATCGTATGTCGAAAATCGAAAATATACGACTTCGAATCGTAGGTAAAAAGTGTATTAGGCTTACTTTCGACACAGTAGTTTGCGTAATACCACGAATAAAAACGATCACATCCATCCCTGATTGGATCCCGTAGTAGAACATAACCAAGGACTGCAGCAGCCGGAACAACTATAAATCTGCGATTTTCAATTAGCGTGGTGCGAATCTCCGACAGATGAGTGACTAATTGATTTAGCTTGATTTCGGCTGCCATGACGGCGGCCCTTTAAGTCCGTTAAACATGGCCGTGTTAGTTAAGGCATATTTTCTCTCACAGCCCGATGCGGATTTGAGATGAAAGAGTAACAATAAAGTTTACGTGTACTCAATAATTTTCTTTATAATATTTTCAAAATAATGATGATTCTACTGCGGTGCCTAAGAAGAGTATAGGGATTGGCATACACTGCATGATATGCACTGATTTATATTATAAAGAGTAAATAAATATATATATATATATACTTTCTTTTTTGTTGTTCTCACGTACCACATCCATTAAACCTCTTCTGAATCATACATGTTTATATTAAGTACATGTATATACTTAATATTTTTAGTGCTGCTGACCATATTAATAAAACAGTGGAGTGCGGCAATATAACAAACGGAGATATAAGACTGTAGCTACAATAAAACATCATCCATAGCTATGGCAATACCAGAACTCGTCTCGGATACGAAGCTGATTTTCTGACGTGTAAACAGACAAAGATATTATTGCAAATATATTACATGTCATGTTAATAAATGTATAATGACAGTCGCTTATGCTCGTTTTAGGCTTGAAAGGAATTATGCAGTTCCACTAACCAATACAGTATAGCAAGAAAAACCGAAAAGGGCATAGCCGCTTCTGACAAATAAATGCCTATAATTTTATTGTTGATTATTGTGACATAACGTGTCAAAGCGAATGACGATTCATAACAAGCATAATGTGTTGATATGAGCAATGTTTTGTCCAATAGTCAGAAGTTTTTTTGACATTCATAACATGAGTCAGAATTTGAACATGAACAATTCCTATAAAACTTACATACCCGAAAGAGCCTGTTAGTAGAAGTTCTATTTTCCTGGTCTTCTCGAATGCTTTTACAAGCGATAAACGGTCATTTGTTACATTTAACATAGTGAAGACCACAGTGTGCACGCATAGATATCTCGCTTATATCAATGGCGTTACAAGTATCATGAACAGTTATGCCGCAGAAGCAGCACTTCAGCATAAGTACTCTAGTTTCTGTCTACGTATCACATTTAAGTTAACAGACTTTTAAAAATAACAGAGAGATACATGCTATCCTTGTTGATTGGAACTAAAGCTAGACAGTCCGACAGCGAGAACGGACCTTCTATGACGAGCGAGATTTATCCAGGGTAGCCAGTTCGTCTTTATGTTTAGCCAGTATTGTCGATCCGAGCTGTGAACACGCAACCTTCATTGGTTCGATTGACAAACGATTGATCACGTTTTTATATGCACTCGGTACAGAAGGAATGGATAGTGAGTATAGCCGGCGGTCCATTTATTCAAGTAGATGTTCAAAAATCGTCCGGCACGAACTGCTTCATTTCGAAAAGACTGAAGTCATGAAGAATTATTCAGATATATTATTTACCATGTCGTATCCGTATGGTATGTTATTATATTGTAAATGAACTTGAAATTAATTTATTTATGTATTACACCAAGCACAACTGCCGGTGTTCAATAGCGAAACTCAATAGAAAAAAATGGGGTTAGCTAGTGCATCAAAGATAGGTAAGGGAAATATGATTTAAAAAAAATAATGAATTCTGAAGCGGGCAATTTAGCCATGGCCTGGTAAATCTGCCGCGGCTGGGGTACCAACACCCACACCTTGCCCGCTACTCAGCTGATTGTGGCTTTCAAATTTTTCGCCCTTAAGCTAAATTGATTTCTATTTAGCTCATAACGGATACGCGGAAAAGATCAAAGTGGAATTGTCCTCATTTGACGCTTCAAGTGGATATGCTTTAGTTAATAGCTATCGCAGTTCGTATGAGACAGTCTACATTGTATCCTAAGCATGAAAACGAAGTATTATGGCCAGCTTCTAGACGAACGTTTGCGCAGGCAAATATTTCTAAAATATATGACGAACAGTATACGATGCGAATGTGCAAACCTTGACCATTTCTGTTTATATAATCTAGATCTAACTAAAACTCCTTATGATTGAATTTACATAGTACTATATATATTTGGCTCTTTTCCCATCGAAATTCACCTTGAACTATCAAACTGTAGTACGTACACTTGTGCTTTCCAAGGAACAAAGAAAGGAAAACATAATTTTTTACATTTCGAGCACAGACGACTCCATAGCCTGCATTTGTGCGCGCTTTACCAATGTTACATAGAGCCTTCTTTATTGTACTACACTTTGTCGCCATTTCTCGCCGCACATTTACCTTTATAATAGCTTCATATACTGGATAATTCGTCAAGCGTTTCACAAGATACGTAAAACTTGTACTTTTGTCCTCTGACTTGTAACTATTGAGTACAAATTTTCACGAATGTATCCTTCAGCATATTCCTGTCGACGCATTTTACAAATGGTTATTTCACTTGTTATTTTTTCTTCCTTATTAAGATCACGGGAGGTCGAGACGCGGATAATGGATGTTGTTATGACTTGAGCGCACGGTATTTTAAAGTTCGCTGCTAGTCAAGAAATGACTGGGACATGACCGAAGCAACTATATCCAACTACGGCCCTTCAAACATACAGCGTCAAAAAATGCAACAACAGTATTGAACGACAGCCAAAGGAGGTCATTGATATTTTATGCACGAATCTATGACTAAGGAAAAACTAAATCATAATCGTCTTTAAATTATCAAGTTACAATATTAATAAAATGCGCTTGAGGCGCTGAATCATTTATGATTAATATTCGTCATAAAGTGAAGAATCTTTAATTATGATATTATCTACAAAAATCAGTGTGCCATAGAATAAACAGCGCCAAGAACCTTGTTAGTTTAATTAGCTCAGTCATAACAGCTGACTGTGAGGATCGAATACCGGGTAAGGGTACATTGCAGAAGGTACTGATATATAATAAACAACGAAAAGAACTTGAAAATTAAATATCAATCGGGATTCAATTTGTTTCCACTGGTCTACGAGATTTTAAGAGCACTGACGGAAATTAAGCGTATGTTGAGATCGTCGAGAAGCTACGAATCGAGTGCAAGAATAAACAGGCAGAATTTTTTCGAACTTTATCGAATTGCCTTCACTACGATAATACTTTATATATGATGAGATTAGCAGATCAAATGCTGGACAGATTAGAGAATTAAGCAATGGACAAAATATTTTTTGTTGAAAAATACAGGACATGATCGTTATAATATTTTTTTGTACGAATATATATTTTGTATGCAACACAAATGTACGTAAATTCCATAGGCTGAGATATATTTTTTAATTGAAGTACGAGTAACGATACGATACGAGAAACTAAAGGGCGAAGACTACATTCACGTGGCGACTTTTTAGGCTCTAAATTTGCTTGTGAATGGTGCAATGGTGAACAAAAAATTGCACACTTTTGACAGCAAAAGCTATTTTAATATGGATTGCCGCAAAATTCGTAAGTTAATCTCTCTATTGATTTTATAAAATTGCGCACAGAGTTTACCTTTTATAATTATACATGAACATACTAAAACTCATCATCTTCAAATTTCAACGAAAATTTATTAAATCGATTTGGAAACTCACTCAAACATTGTCATAAATTAATTATTATCGTCGTTAAAAAATATTAAATAATGGATTTGAATAACATAACCCTTTGTCAAATCATTCCTTGTGTTAATGTCACCCAACAGAAAGAAACGACACCCTTTTCAGTTTATTTTACTCTATAATTACTTTATATATTTCGCTTCCTTAACGTCTAGCCTATATTCTGGTCGAAAAGCTTATTTTTTCTATGGTGCCTTAATACGTATAAACGCTCAACATTTAAAAAATATGTGTCGTAACTCTCCGAGAAAATATAGTTTACATCATATTGGGTGGAATAAAGTTAATTGAAAAGATGTGCAACAATCTACTAAAAATAAATATCTGTTACAAAATTAATCGATTTATGAATAGTAATTCCAATCGATTATCTTTTGGTGCATACACGCAATTCGTAACTACCTAGTAGAAGGGCTTTCATGCATGCTGACGCCGACACAAAAAAGAGAATTTTAAGGTTCGGTCTGATCCAGCTGCCCCCCAAAGTTGAGCTCATTTCTTCCCTTGTTAATTACAATCCGTCACCCGGTCAACTATAAAGCTTGTAGCCCCCTACAGACTGGCTCTCTCTCTCTCTCTATTGTTCCTAACGTGATCTACAGCAAGCCTTCTGTTCATTCCGGCGAACGGCTCATTATTCTTTCGAGAATTTTCTTCTTAATTCATTATTTTACTTAGCTTCCTGGGCGCTTACATTTCCTAGCATATAGCTTATAGCCTCAACCGAAATGGAAATTAGTGAAAATAATCTAACATTTTTTCTTATTTCTAGCCAAAAAAATCCGCGCCCCTTGCCACGTGACCTTTGCTAGAGCAGCGGTTCCTCGAGAAGTTTCGACATTCGCGCAGAGCAAAGCGTTGTCGTTCATTCAAGCAGCGTGGCGGCAGAGTCAGTCCACCCACAGACTTCCGTAAAGTTGAAATTTGTCGTCTCTCTCATCGTAAGCGCGTGTAAGTATTATCTGCTAACCGTATTAGAATGTTTTAAAGGTGCTTCAAACGTTATGATAAATAAGTTGTCCAAGACGTTTTATCTCTTGATGCCGGTTACACGTGGTGGTGCCTGGTGCATTAGTTAATGCCAATGTAGACAAAACTACATTAAAAAATGAAGTTTCTAAGATACAAAGTACCGGCGTAGTTAATTCCTTATGTAAGATAATCAATATTTTATAGGGAGTTTACCTGCTATCGATTTGTAGATTCTTTTATGAAGACACCCAATCAAATGAGCGGTAGGTGCGCGGATATACGCGTAAGCCTTCTCGATGGTAGTGCAACGGCAATGTGTTTGCCTAATAAGGTGAGACATAGTGGGATACTCTGTTTGAAACCTGACGTAAATAGATATTTAGTGCTAAAGGCGGCTAAACGTTGGAAGCAATGACCCGGTACAAAATTCTTAAGTCTATTGCGGTACGAGGCTATTTTATTCAACTGACTGTACTTTGCTCATTTGACTTCTCATGACTTGATGTCCCGCTATCTCATCTAATTTTTGTTCGTTTTTGTGCCACTTGCTGTCTCTAGAATCAGGAAATATGAACAGGCTTTTGCGTCCAGCTTGCCGGCAGGCTATGGCCGTCGTCTATTCCCAAGCCCATCTGCGTATGGGAATGCGTGCATTGGCGACAAGTTCCCAGCTATTTAATGCGAAAGACATAAAATTTGGTGGGGATGTGCGCGCCCTTATGCTTCAAGGAGTCGATGTTCTGGCCGATGCTGTAGCAGTTACAATGGGCCCTAAAGGACGCAACGTTATTCTTGAGCAGTCTTGGGGAGGACCTAAAATCACAAAGGACGGCGTCACTGTCGCCAAAGGTTAGTATTTTGTTCTCATATATATATGTATATAGGTTTGAAAACAATCCGAAAACGAAATAGTATCTGAGATCACACGAAGAGTAAATCATCGCATTTCCTAATGCATTGAAGAATATATCAGAAGAGCAGTTAATGTATGCCTGCGTCCTGGTGCTCATATTCCTTGCTGTGCTTAACGGAAATTAGGCCTGCACGAGGATTTTTACTTAATTTTTATATGACAGTGGAAAGACAAACTTAAGAAAACAGTAAAATAATAGCCTATCTGAGGCTAGCCGAGAAAATTTTAGTTAATTGCAAACGTTTCATAGCCATAGATTACGAACAATAAAAAAATTCGTAGTAGCAAATATCTTATTCACATATTATGTCTCTAACCGATTGCAGGAATCGAGCTTAAGGATAAGTTCCAAAACATCGGTGCTAAGCTTGTCCAGGATGTCGCTAACAACACGAATGAGGCGGCTGGCGATGGTACAACCACGGCGACAGTACTTGCGCGGGCCATCGCTCGAGAGGGCTTCAACCAGATCTCGAAGGGTGCCAACCCTATTGAGATTCGTCGCGGTGTAATGCAAGCCGTTGATGTATGCATTGATGAGCTAAAGAAACTTAGCAAGCAGGTAACAACTCCCGAGGAGATTGCTCAAGTTGCTACGATTTCGGCAAATGGCGACAATCAGATTGGCACTCTGATATCTGACGCTATGAAAAGGGTCGGCCGAGATGGAGTAATCACCGTCAAGGATGGCAAAACATTGACCGACGAACTGGAGGTAATCGAAGGCATGAAGTTCGATCGAGGATATATCTCGCCATACTTCATCAATACACCAAAGGGTGCTAAAGTACAATTTGAAGATGCTTTGGTGCTGTTTTCTGAGAAGAAGATTTCAAACGGCCAACAGCTGATTCCGGCCCTCGAGATGGCGAATCAGGCTCGTCGACCTCTGCTCATTGTGGCTGAGGACGTCGATGGAGAGGCTCTGTCGATGCTTGTCTTAAACAGGCTTAAGGTCGGGCTGCAGGTCGTTGCTGTGAAGGCCCCCGGTTTCGGTGATAACCGTAAGAACACCCTGCATGACATGGCTATCGCTTCAGGTGGTATAGTCTTCGGCGACGAGGCTAACCTCGTCAAAATGGAGGATATCCAGATGAGCGACTTTGGCCAAATTGGAGAAGTGACCGTTACAAAGGACGATACGCTCTGCCTTAAGGGCAAGGGCCAAAAGGCTGACATTGACCGCCGTATCAACCAGATCAAAGACGAGATTGAAATGTCAACATCGGAGTATGAGAAGGAAAAGCTCTCAGAGCGTTTGGCCCGTCTCTCAAGTGGTGTTGCCCTGCTCAAAGTTGGCGGTAGTTCAGAGGTCGAGGTGAATGAGAAGAAGGACCGCGTAAACGACGCTCTGTGCGCCACCCGTGCTGCTGTCGAAGAGGGGATCGTGCCCGGCGGTGGAACGGCCCTGCTTCGTTGTCTCCCAGCTCTCGAGGCACTAAAGTGCGACACTCCCGATCAGCAGATGGGTGTAGAGATCGTCAAGAAGGCATTACGAACGCCTGCTACCCAAATCGCTGCTAATGGCGGACTAGAATCGTCAGTGATTGTCAACAAGATCATCGAGTCGAAGGAGCGCGATTTTGGTTACGATGCGGCCAACGATAAGTTCGTCGACATGATCAAAGCTGGTATCATTGATCCGACTAAAGTCGTACGAACGGCGCTGACCGACGCGTCAGGGGTCGCTTCACTGCTAACGACGGCCGAAGCGGTGATCGTCGAGCTTCCTAAAGAGGACAAGGAGATGGGTGGTGGCATGGGCGGTATGGGCGGAATGGGTGGCATGGGTGGTATGGGTGGAATGATGTAAGAATAATGGGTACACCTCCATTACTGGCTAGTATTGCATATGCATCCGAGAGAGGGACATCGCATTTCTTGTAATATTTTCCTTGATTTTTCTCATCATCTATCGTTTTACTTTACGTAAGCAGGGCATAGCATAATTCTTGAGCCAGTAACAACGAACCTGCTTTTTAAAACCGTTTGTGGGCAGTAACATCTCCTGCACAAAATGTGGTAAAATTCTATTCGATTTAGCGTAGAAATCAACTTCTATTTAGCATAGAAATCAACGCAACCCGGTTTATATATATACAAGACGCTTATATTTTATGAGCACTTCATAGGCGTATAAGTTTATTCAGCGGCTGTTAGTATTGCCACTAATAATGTTGTCATTAGCAAATCATGAGTGCGTGTTATATGATATGATGGCTATTCAAGTTTAACATAAAAAGGTAAAAAGAGCGAGAGAACTAATTTCGAGAAAAGTCCAGCAAAACAACGCGGAAGACTCCGGCTGCGAACGACTATTGTAAGAACAAAAAAGCTATCGGAAACAACAGCTGCTTTGGGTGATACGGGAAATAAAACACCGAAGAGATGCGTGTGGCACGAAGTCGTCAATCGGTCGGTCGGCCATCTGAACATGTTGAAATTATTGAATTAGTTTTTATATAGGTGAACATACCATTACATAGTACGTATATATATAGACGGCCGATTTCCGCTAATGTACAAATGCTGAACCATACTGGTGTTAATAAAACTCCTTTATACATACTTTTTACTCGAGTTGTCTATAACATTTTCAGTGGTAGCGCAAAACGACAAATGTGCATAGCAATAAGAAACTTTTCAAACATTTTCAGTGGCAGCGCAAAACGACAAACGTGCATAGCAATAAGAAACTTTTCAATCACACATAGACAAAATATTAGATGGGAACACTCCAAATGCAATGCATAGCAATAAGAAACTTTTCAATGCATAGCAATAAGAAACTTTTCAATCACACATAGACGAAAAATTCCATAGGAACAATCCAAATCCAAACATAGGTGGTATTTGCGCTTTCTGGCCGATCTCAATTGATCAAATTTTCTGAAATGATTGCCATGTGGTACCGTATGCATTCTTTACAGTTGTGTACTTGCGCTAGCTGGGCGAGTTAATAATTTAAAGAATGGCGTTAGGAGAATGGATTCCTATAGATCAAAGTGCAATAGATTCCTATAGATTAAAGTGCACTTGCACTTAACGAATAGAATTAATAGAATTAGAGCAAGCTATATGGGAATTTCCAGCTTTTTTTTACACCTCATACGAACCATGTTATGGGAATTTACAGCTTTTTTTTACACCTCACACGAACCATGTTGGTTAGTGGGTTATAGAGTGCAAACTCAAGTAGAATATCTCAGTCGCTTAGATCATCCCAAGAGAAAATAGAATACTCTATCCCAGTCGTTTAGATTATTCCAAGGGAAAAAGGATTATTCCATTTTGTTGACGCAATCGTTCGTATAATTATTACAATCTAATAACAGTCGACGTTATCTGCAGCATGTATATTCTCCCAAACAGGTCTACGCTGCAATCTGCTTTAGAATTTCTACGCATGAAGAATATGCCGTTACGGTAGCTTTAAAACATCTGCCGAAGCCGAGATAACACAGTGAAAAGGACAGAAATGGACAAACCCGTCGTCCCAAACAAATGATTAGAAAAGAACTGTGCACCCCTTCACCGTTACAAGTCTTGTTCCTCATATGTTCATATGTATAGAATGAATTAAATGAAAGAACACATCTTGATTGGCTTCCAGCACGTGCTCAACACATGAATGACGTGATTCTCTTGTCAAAATATCGAATGTCAAACAGATATTGCAGCAGGGGAGTTAAGAAGTTAAGCTACTTTCTTTGTTTTTCACTGGAATAGATTGTTTCAGCCTATAGAGAATACATTGTCGTCTAACACGCTGATTATGTGTTGTAATTATACCCGCCAGCACAACAACAGCGACATACATAAAGCTGAATGTATGTTATAGGTATAACAAAATTTCTGTATCAACAGTCGTAGTAATAGATGGTCACGATGTTTTTGTCTTTTGGATGTTTTCGCTTATGTAATACTTCTGCTGGAAAATGCGATTTCCTTTTATTAAATGTCCATGAAATAGATCTCAGAATTCATGCAATAATGGCCGGTGAACGCTAGCCGAAACTGCATGAACAGAGACGGGTTGTGTTGAGTATTAAGGACACCATTGCGCGTGCACTGTGTAATATTACGAAATATATTCAATCTGTTAGGCTGGTGATATTTTGCCAGTATTAGGACCATGTTGTGGTCTAGACCCCAACCCGGATACAGATACACTTCGTTTTGTGCTAGAAGCCGTCTGATAAAATGCTTATTGGCGATACCAGACACAACGCTCGAAAGACAGAGGTCGGTGATATTTGACAACGAAACTAGAAAGTGGATATTTGGCGTTAAATTACGTAAATAATTTAGAAGAGAAGTAAAAATAGCACCCTATGGCAATAATTCGACTTGGACTTGAATTCGACTATTGTTGTTTTCGTTAGTTCAGGATATGGGCATACAAACAGTATAGAGCAAGTATTTAAAATTGACATCGATCGTAGACTTTACTCACAAACCGCTGGATCAAGCGAATCTGCCGATTCGCTTAACATTGTTACAGTCTTTTACCGAAAATGACGATATTTATAGAATTGGCTAAAATATTCGCAATACAGGTGCTTCAATCAATTAATTAATTAAGAAAAATCATAGGTCTAATTCTATTAGTTTTAAAATACATATTCTTTTAGTGGTTCCTGGATAACGTCTTGAGTAATATGCCTGCTCCATAATAAATAAAGAGTACAGTAATTAATATATAACTAAATAGACAAAGGTTTAAATTCTGATAAATTTTTGTAATTATCACTGAACTAGTTTCTGAGTTTTTGCAGTAGAGATATGCACGCATATGTGTTCGATAGAATGTGGACTGACACCACAAAAACTGCTTTGTATACTTCCGGAAAAAAATTAGTTAATCCCAACACTAAAAAGTAGTAACGGAGGCTGCTGATTATAGACACGACGTATTTAATAGATCAATTTGTCGGTTATGATCTGCTCAGCCTCAAAGGACACTATTGTTTGTAATAGCTTACCCCTTTTTTGTTTAACGTAACCATCTTTAATAAACGATGATGTCAGGGGCGTTCGCTCACTGCGGTGATCCGGTGAGCTTATCGAAACGAAAAAAGTAAACCTATAGTAAAACTAGCGATAATTAGATCTGTTTGAGCAGTGCATATTAAGATTATGAAACTGTACTTTTCCAACTTCGAATAGTTCATTTGCGTTTTCCGAAGCCCGGAATAGGGACACACAAACAAAGTAGCCCCCTGTAGCTTCTATATGACACTACCATCGATTCTATATTGCGCAGCACCTCGCGCTTATTTCAAATCACCGTACTACCAGTAACCCGTACCTGATCCCATACAACTAAAAGAGCAGAGCACCGCGCTACTATTAGCCCATACCATATTTTATGCTATTAGTAAGAAAATACCTGAACAAATTTATCTACACTTTGCTGTAACGATCCTAAACACACTAAAACACTTGATGCTTAAGTTTATATATATAAAACCACGATTTATTCACGTACAGGATATATATAGTACATATGAGTGATCCATACACACACAGTAAAACACGGGGAAACACCCCGTTGCCTAGCAGCACGCCGATTACAGGGCGGGGTAAAAAAATTCCCTTACTATGAAAAATTTGCAATAATTAGAGAACATTGGCTGCTATCTTCGCCTGTATAATGCTTCCATTCATTATTGTGTTTCGTTCCCATCATTAACATTTAATTTTACATATGGATCTGTGTGTATGCCTGGGGTGTTCTTCATTTCTACAGAATTCATTTCTATCGAGAACGACTCTAATCCTGCCATTTCGCGAGAATATCGGACTCTTTAAAAATAAACAGCTCCTTCTTATCGACCTCGATTTTTTGGCCTCCATACTCTGGCAGGAGTACGCGATCTCCAGCCTTTACCTATAATTACCAGAGGGAGAACAGAATTTGGACTTGTTAGGACAAAATACTAACATATAGATGGAATCTGGCTGTAAAGCCACTCTGTAATTTTACATAAAAGGAACTACAGTCTTCATTGTGAAGCGAGCTTGACAATCTTATGTGAAGGGAACTACGTGTTTCCTCTGAAACGAGCTAGACGATCGATAAAAGCTATCTGACTGGAAACCGTGTATATGATAGCAAATCTAACCGTGACTTCTACGCATAAACAATAGTATGTCCATTTCTACATATAAGTTTATATTTATGGCCAATCTGCAATTCGCATTTTTTTACATTTGCTGCACATTATTTAGTAATAGATTTTTATTAAGCACACTTACTGAACAAGGAATCCTTTCCCCGTTTTTGGTTAGGGCACCAGCTCCGACCTCGATGACTGTAGCAACCTGAACCTTGCTTTGGCTTTGCTCAGGAAGCAGAATGCCACCTTTGGATTTCACTTCTGGGGCAAACCGTTCGACGAGGATTCGGTCTAGCAGGGGTATGAGACGTCGTCCAGCAGCGGCCATTTTCTCACTTCTCTGGTATTGAGGATAACTGTCATTAGGAGAATACAAAAGCACGTAGAAAGGTGAATGAATGTATCTAATTATTTCAAGAAGAAAACTCTTCTTGTAACAAAAGTGCAAAAGTGGAAATGTTAGTATTCAGCTTTCTGATAATAGTTTAAGTAGGCGTCGCTAGTTCATTTAGGCTGGGTGTCTAAGCAAACTTACGAAAAAATGAACTGAATGAGCGTATACAGTACGTAACGAATATTATAACTACGAGATATAAATACGACTTTACAGTTCCACGTAGGCAGCAACACGGCTAACTGAACAGCGTTTGGTTTTATGGCTAATACGTAACTAACCGGTAGGTACACGCAACGTGGTTGGATCGTTTCAAACCGGTAAAGAAAATCATTAGCCATTCTTTGAAGTGATAGTTTCTTAGCTTAAAAGCATCCTTGATTATCTACAGAAGTCGCAAAGCGGTAGATATTTCTATTATGTTGATAAAGTTCATAAACTCTTCAATTACGTTAAGTGGGCCTTTCTATATTCTAGAAAATTCGCGTAGTGATATCCGATACACGAAAAATCTTATAAGTTTATGTCGAGTTGTAACCTTTTTTTGTAACAGGGCAACGACGAATTTCAAGGGTATGACATTTATTAATAGCGAGCGGAAATTGCATTGGGCAACACTTACATGAGTCGAGCAGCAGGACTTAGATCCGTGAACAACGACACGCCACGGACAAAGGCAACGTGCGCGAGGGACAGTGGCAGCGTGCGCGAGTCACAGGCCGGCTACCTTCTTTGCTTACCGCACCCAAGAATACAGCGTTTATAGAAGCTTCGCGCCGGTGAGAGCCAACGGCGGGTAAATTTAAATGGAGAGAACGCCGGCTATAGAATGGTCGCTGAGATCTGCAGGCGCAAGTCGGGCTGCGCCGTAGGCATATGATATTGAACAAGGAAGAAAAAGCAAGAGAGAGGAAATGAAAGGCTAAAATTTTCCGGAAAAAGTGTTAAAATGCGGTAAAATGCTTCAAAAATTTGCCCTTTGTCCAAAAAAATTTTTCGCGCAATTGTTTTTACGCGCGTACAGCTATTATTATATATCACTGTACGAATGTTCTAGAACTAATTTATTTTGAAATGCTGAGGTTTTCTGTAATTGGGAACCTAGGAACGTAATGTGAGCGCGGTTTCGCTAGTAGAATAGCCAAGTTTTTATTTCAACAATTTGAAAAAGCAGACAAGAGTCTTACCTTATGGCGTACCAAGATGTGTTCTAGCGCTACCCTTACACACTGTATAACATGAAACAAAAATATTGTGTGTTTCGATATTAGCATCGAAAGCATTCCTCTTCGGATTGTGCCCGCATTTCTGGCAGAACTATATAGTATAAGGTTACTGTATTAAATTACTTTTGTTTTCTTCTTTTTTGTGTATTTTTTTTTCGTAATTTTAACGTGTATGGTAAAAGATGATGTACGGATGCCATAACTCTATCAGGCCTAGGAAACATAACAAAGTGTAAAAAGTTATCGAAATTCTTTCAGACATTCAGGCTATTCTTGTCGTTAACTGGGATCTCTTTTTTAAGAACTTAGGTTTTTCATATAGTGTGCCAAAGATTTTTTACTCGATTACTCCCTGTTTCGTGCTTTTCCTGTTGTAGAGACTTTTTTTTAACTATCTTATGGTTTCAATAATCTCTATTTTATGCTTTCGAGAGCTAAATCAATATAAAAAACAGATAAAGCAGAAAAAAAATTAGCAGTTATGAATGCCTGCCTGCCAATGGAGTAATTTGTCTATATATTAGCCATCAAGTAGTGCTACCAATATAGTGCGAGTATCTGTCGCTGTTTCTTGCTTTTATCTGAATACTCCTGGCATTTATGTAAATAATCTTAACAGTGTATAATCGGGACACCAGCATTTCTAGTAGCGGCTATGTTTTCTAATGGGACATTTATCATAAAAAAATGGTTTTATTTTTGCTCTAGTATTGAAAAATTTATGTCTTCTATACTTCCCTATAAATCGAAATATAGAAAGGTACTAAAAACTTAGACGAGAACATCACGAACTCCGGTTTCCTTACAGGCCTCGCGCAGAGTTGGATCCAGGGAAACGCCAAAGTTTAGTCTGAATTACATAATCAGCTGGCCTGATAAGTGCCAAATACTGATATTCGTGTTAACAATAAAACAAGGTTTAAATAAGAAAGATTCTGTAAAATATGTATTTATTATACTTGTAATTCAAAAGTACCGCTTCTGTCCGCTTCTTGTATGATTCAATACCAACTACCTCGAGATTATATTTAATTTTCTGTTTAATTCGTTGCTCTTACGGGAAAGTAGATAACCACTGTTCGTGCAACAAAAATTATTTATAATATTCAAGTTAATGACGAATGAGAATGAATATCTCAATGAATTCGTTTTGTCTCTGGCTTAATGTTATTACAAGTAATTTTATCTCTAATATAATTCATGCGAGCACTTTCTAGGTTATGTTCTATATTGAAAATCATTGAATAAACATGGGCTACCAAAAAATAATTCGACTCGTACAAGAGGAACCAAAAAATAGTCTCTTGCTTTAAAAAATGGAGTAGACAAGATCTAACATCATTTGAAGTAGGATTTGCTAAAATAGCGTAATCAATAAAAAAAAAAGAGGAGAAACTATTAGGTTTAGTCCTTATTCTTATAAACGATAAAAATATCAAGCTTAATTAGCGGCAATTTAATCTGAGAAGTTGAACGGAATACTATGAAGACTATTTCAAGATTTTCAGAATACGCTTTTTCCGCAACTTTATACTCGTATGGAAACCCGATGTGTATGGAACAAGCATATCGGGTTTGAAAGCGTTTTTTATATATTAAGGGTTCAGAAGACTTTCAGATAACTCGTCCAATGGTTGTCGATGCCTATATCGTATACAACTAGATGCATTTTTCGAAATGCAAAAAGATAACTTTTTGGGGTTCAGCATCGTTACACCGGTTGGGTAATAAAGTGTGGGGCTCATTTTCCATCACTGTTCTCATGTATATTTTTTAAAATATATTATTTAATTTTTTATTGTGCTTTCTCTAACGGACTTTAATCTCGACCTGAATGTTCCGTTAGTATGTTTTTAAACACATTAGCAGACTATCTTTTTTTTATGAGAAGAAGTAGTCGGAATCAGCTTTTCGATATAGCATTAAGGATTTGCCCGACCAGTACAGTTAGCCAAGGTAGGGTTTTCTGGACCTATCTGGGTTTTTCTAACAGTTTTATGAAACGGAACGGCCACTATATAAGCAGTTATTTGCTTAAATTTTGTTAGTCTTTTGTATTAATTTTTCCTGATAATAATTTTTTAAGAGTACTGAGACTGGAACAAGTATGGCTTTGTTGCTTTTATTCTTTATGGTTGTCAAGGCAATGTACTCAAACAGGTAAGCATTGGCTACCTGTTTGCTAAACGACGCCGCTCCACTATCAAGGATTTTGCTGGAAGTAAACACAGATTCATTTGAGAGTTCTAGAAAATCCTGACTTGAAGAAATCATTGTTATACAAAAGCGTTTACGAGCATTTACCTGTACACATAGTAACATAAAAGCAAATCGCATAGGCCTTGTTAGGACAATTTCTTTGGTATGAGTAGTTTTCTAGTTGAACTAAACTTAGAGCTGGTGACGTAGTTCAGAAATGAGATTCGGCTGTCGTATGCAGGCACAACTAGTACGCGTGCTGGAATAAAGCCACATATACAATAGTTACATTATAATTTTCTCTATCATTGGATGCCCAGTGTAGTGCTATTTATTTTAGCTTATGCATTAAAAGCTAATGCGTGGGTCGCACGCGCTTGACTGAATATAACAATAAAAATCGATACTGTCCGAGAGCCTATGTCAAATTGTAAAGGTCGTCCGAAACCTTAACAGGACCTAGACGCACTTTATTCTATTCTGGAAGGTTTACTTACATTAACATATTTGTATGAATCATACACGGTCGTATACATGCTCGAACATTGGTTTCTTTGACCTCCTTATGGTTCTTTTGACCAGTACGGGATTGTGTTTTTGCATAAGGTTGGCAAATTTATATGATAAGCATTATTGGTTAACAATTAGGACTCACATGCAGTTTGCGCAAATAGTGCGCATGACTATGCGTACCGGTGAAAACCACTAAATTGATACGAATATTTTGCCTTTTAGTCATGGCTGCAACGATTTCTTCAGTTTTGTTTGGCAAAAAGCTCAGCAGGTCACGGTTCACTGAACAGGCTAAAAGATGCCAAACCTACCGGAATTAGGACCACAGCAGGTACTTGAAACACACATCTCTATCATTCTCTGAGTTTCTGGTTGGCATATAATTTTAAAGTAACCATATTCTATTGCAGATGAAGTACTATGCATAAATATTAGATAGTAAGTATTAAGCTTCTTCTAAGTGTGACATAATCACAGTGATCGATTACTCGGATAGCCAACTTAGAATGGCTTTTCAAGTTTACGTCAGCGGTGTTGTTTTCTAAGAACTTTAAGAAGCTTTTTTAATTCAGATTTTCTTGAGCCAGATTTTTGAAACAGTGTGGTACGCATTTTGGCTTTCATTTGAATACGTCAAGCAGTTCGCATATTTTGTTGTTGTAAAAACATTATAAATTTTCCGCACTCTAAAATTTAGAACTTGAAAGAACTTGTTGTGGTATTCATCAGTTTTGTTGAAATGAGAGTCGGTCAAATTTTTTATATCGAAGTTGCTAGACAAGATCGATGGAAATTTAATCCAAATGCTTTTTAACGCGAAATTATAGGCACCAACCAGTTGCTTCAAAGCTCTTTTGTTTTATTAGCTTGTTCTAGGGTTCAATTCTAAGTCGGTTGTGCCCTAAACGCCTTTTTGATAAACTATCTTTGGTTGGCGGGAAAATTTTCAGTTAGTTTTAGTTTGTCGCTTGCTGATAGCCAAGTCTCATATACTTTTGGCAAGTGCTCTCTTTGTCCTACCTAACTGGCTGTTGTCACATTCTTTAGATTGGAAGGCCTTTTAAGGCTAGCTTTTTTTTTAATAATACAACCACTTCGAGATACTACAAAATAAAGGCCATATTTAAGATTAACTTACTTGGACCAATATTGAATAAGAAGTCGAAACGGGTCATAAAAATAAAAACAAGTTGACTCAAAAGACAACAAAAAACTTATCGAGACCCTTTTTGAACTTTAACCTTAAAAGATAACGAATATAGTGTCAATTTATTTCAAACCCAAAACTCGGAAAAAGTTTCGATTATAAACAAAGATGATAAGAACTTCAATACGTCTGATCAATCAAGCGAACTTTACTGAAGTGTTGTGAAAAGCCGCGATGTAAAAAATAAATCTCTTTTTCTAGAGAAATTGTGTCAATGAATTATATACAAAGGAAGAAAAACACAGACCGGTTTAGAGGTGGAAGTTGTTTTTAAAGCAGATACCTGAACGACCGCAGGTACGTGGTTAGAATTAGTTTATTTGGCAATTTGAATAATTTTGGTCTTTTGCTCAGCATCGATTTGCATGTAGCTTTTTACTCACCTATTTTCGGCCTACTTTTTTTACAGCACAACTTGAATGATTAATTTTCAGAAAGGGACGGTGATTTACGTTTCAAGGAGGGAGGACGCCGAATTCAATGTTCGCTTTACGATACCGCCGGTATGGTAAATGTTTGCTAAAATCATTTTCTTTCTAAACTCGTTTCGCAGTTTTCCAAGTTCGAAAAAATAACTTCTTTAATACATAGTTAGAATCGATACGTTACCAGTACTAGTTCTCCAAAACAAGTCAAGTGATTTTTGATTGTGGCAATAAGATATTTGTAATCCAGCGTCATTCAAGTGTACCTAATATCGTTACCTTAATTATTTTTAAGGCCATTTCCTCGTCTACTGGTACATATACGAATAAACGAGAAAAATCGCATTTTTCCTTCCTCACAATCCTTCCTCACACATTTTTCGGTTTGTCTCGAAATCATTCTAGTTACAAAGAAAACCTGCCGCCTCTTTTTATATCAAGCTTCTTGATTTGTACAACAGTAATAGCGAATGAGAAGTATATTGCGTATTACAGAATAAATAAAAATGTAGAATAAGAATTTTCGTCGCAGGATTTTATGTGTTAGGTCATGTTTTCATGTTGTACGTCCGGCTCTTAGCCATCAGGCATTAGTTTAAATGGCCGGCTTCCAGTGCGAAACGAAGTGTGTCTGCGCCCAAATACGAACTTAAACCCCCTTGTATTCACAGATTTAGCAGTCAAACATGCTACCCACTGCGCTATCACGATGATTTTCTATATTCTTTGCTAAGTTATCCTCCTCCCTCTGTATCTTCCTACAATACAAGGAGGAGAGATCTAACAAAACGGGACAACATTTGTATACAAGAAAACAGGCCTCTCATACCTGTTGATTGACGCATCCGTATTCTAAACTTGAAATTCTTAGTTATTAGTATTATTATGGCTCCTAGATTATAGAAGACACCTGAACGTTCAAATTAGTTTAATCATTAGCCAGCTATGTTATGCAGGTTAGCTTCATAATGCTTCCATAGTATTTCAAAAGCTGTTTGTATTACAGCATGGCTACTACTTTAACGTGAACTGGGACGAGAATGGGCGATTTCTCAACAATGGGACCGGTATTATGTACCATGTATTTAGTGTCTTTGTGACCTACATGAGGCTTAAGTGAGTGTGTTTGCATGCATTGTACTCGTACTTCGAAATGTATACAAAAAATTTTTCATGCAAATTAAATCCACTCATCAATTTTTCACTGAGTGAATAAATTCACTTGATCAGATTTTACCTATTCATTTCATACGAGGCTATGAATTCCAATTGTCAAACTCACACCTAATAACTTTTTTGCTAATGTTGCGTTGACCACGCAGTTACAGCATTCAGATACCTCACGAGCACACGACAGGTACATATGTGTCGTCGACTGGCCAGTGGACAGGTTCCTTAAGTTCGTTGCAAGTTAAGGTAAGTGAATTTTGCCATTTGCGGTGCTCGCTGATTGCAGTTACACAGCAGGACTAGACAATCAAATACTTTAATTAGATCAACATCCCTTATGCATAAAGCCTCACGTGAATATTTCGGCTGACAGTGTGCTAAGCAAGAAAAATGTTTGCAGTTCTTACTCAATAAGCCTACTTCGGCCCCTACTACTTTCTCATAGACACTTATATACCGAGGAAAATCGGCCAAGAAAAGGACCAAAACCAAAACGCGCCATATATTTCTATTGACACCATGAACGGTTATTAGTATAGCAGAAGAGTGCTTAGTCTAAGCACAATCACATATGACAAATAGCATAATGGGATGCTTTGGGCAGATTCTGAGTGCGAAGGTCAAAACACAATCTTACTGGATGCATAACGGGAACCTTGGATTAAAGGATATGAATTTTAGCCAATGTTAGACAGGCGAAATTACTCGTCGAATTCAAATTTTCCCCCGTTTAAGACTGGGACTATAAAACTGGTAAAATGACAAGCAATTGACTTGAATAAATGGATATTTTTTTAGGAGGTGGATGTAGCGATTGGACCATTTATTCCAACTGAGGAGAGAATTAAGGATTTTCAGATAACAACACCATTCATCTGGGACGCCTCGCGCATAGCAGCAGGTTTGAAAAATCTACGTGTACGACAGATGTCTCTCTATACGATGAACAAGTTCACCTTGATACTAATACTAATAACAATGATAAACTATATAAAAACACTATACAGATTAGGTGAAGCGGCTACACAAAATAAAAATGCGCTATTGCAATACCACTGAAAAAAAAATGTAGACCTACAACAGGGAATGGACACACTGCTATCAACAGCTGAGCATAGCAAATAGTTTAGCGTGCGAATTTAGGTACTATGTTTTTTTTCAAATGTTCAGTTCACAAAAACATCTCGATGCCTTTACTGAATTTAATCTTCTTATGTCTTTGTTAAAACCTACCATACGCTCAAAAATAGAATGAAAATTCTGTCGAATGCTTTCTCCAGGTCAAAGTTTCACCGTGTCGGTAAACATGTTTGGCTACATCCGGATCTTCACCTGGCAAACGTGGGCGTTGATATGTTGCTCTGCCATTTTCATGGCTTTGCTAAGTACGTCATTTGAAAAGATGTTACGACCATACTTCGCAGACCATCCGACCTTGTTTCGCAGAAAAGTGAACAAAACATTTGGAAATCTTTTTGGAAGATATCTATTCAATTACTGTACTAACATCGTCATGATGGGTGAGCCTGTTTTATTTAGATGAAATATTTGAAACACCAAATAAGCTGGGTTGCTGGTTCAAGCTAAGCCAACAGGCATGGTTAAACAAAAAAAATTGTTTTCAGCAATTTATTAATTAACTCTACACGCTGCCATAACTAGAGTCGGCGGTTAAGGGTGAACCAACGGGGTTCAGGCAAAGAGTAGTTTGTTATCTGGAGAATGAGAACTAGATTTCAAGGAAAATATCTAAACTATAGATCTTTGTCATACATTTACAATATACATTATTATAATAACTTAAGTTATAATAATTAATATAAAGTATCTAGATCGGTTACCAAGCTAATGGTTGCACAGAAGTTGTAAAGATACGCCGCTATGTATTTTACAAGAGATATTACAAACGAGTTCTTTTCACTTCTATTTTGTATTCAGGTACCGATGAGAAGTGGCTCCCCGGCACTTATAGTCTTCGGATACTTCTGACTGTCTGGCTTATAGCTATTCTCATCATTTTGCAAGTGTTTAATGCAAAAATTCGTGCTACGCTTTTGATCAAAACGGAACCCCCACGCGTGGAGAACGCTGCTACAGTAATTGCAAGACAACTGGTTCCTTTCATGTGGCGAGGAAGCGCGTATCCTTTTATTTTTAGGGTGACAATTATATTACACATATTTGCAAAAAGACAGATGCATGCCGAAAAAATTACGATATTTTTGCACGAATACGACACAGGGAACTTTTGTTTGTCCCTCAACAATCACTTACGCTGACACGAGGTGCACGAAAGGGGATGAAATAATAAGTACATTGAGAAAGCTTCTGGAACGAGAGTAAGGTCTAAGCGAAGTTATGGTCATAACCACGACCTAATGTTTTTTTTTATTTTATTTTTTTGGTAATTAGAGCTCAAAGGATCCATATCTGATGGAAATTGAACGGCTTTCCGTCTTGTTGAAGTCGCAGTATTTCGATTCTGAGCTTTTTCTGCCTCCTCGACTCATCGACGTGCTTGCAGGTCGAGCGGTTATAATTGCGGATACAGTCACTCTCACCAGTGGTTAGTGAGTTCAGTTATCCTAACAAAGGTACATCTGAGGTGCGATGAAACAGTGTACCTAAATCGACATCTCAGATACCAAAGAGTGGCTATTTGTATTACACTCATGTCCTCGGTTCTTTGAAAAATGGTTCATGTTGAAATATGTTTATAACAAGTTCTTTGTTGCCATCGCGTTGCCTTCGCAACAGTGTTAACTCATCTTGCTTTAAATGTACAAAGGCTAGCGCTGAAACGTCAATAAGCTCCCAAGACGCTACGCTGTTACAGTTAACAAACGCACTATTTCGCACACGGGTCTGATGCCATGAAAAAACATAAATACTTTTTTTTGTGAGCTCAATAACTTTTCTGTTGCGTTTTGGCTCGTTCTGCAGGTATAATCCAAAACTGTATGGACGTTCCACCAGCTCAGCGTACCGGTTTTTACTATATAGGCCGAGAGCCATGCAGTCATCATTATTTAGGGTTGATGATGCAGCAGGATATACATCCAAGGCTTCGGAAAGCTATTAACTACAAGTACGATTTTTGTATTGGATGGCTATGTATTAAAGTTTCCTACTTTCTCGTGTTAGCGGGGAGCAATTTTAGTTGTACGGTATAGGTGAGTGATCATCTTGGAAGAGGCCACAATAGCCAAGGCTTCAGCTTTTCCTTTCGTTTGCAGATCTCCATGGAGCTTCTGTTACCTTTTCATTCGTTTATTCCAAGGTACCTAGTGTAATTGATGCTCCTCTGAGCATAGCTTTCTAGGGAAAACTGCAATTTTGATATGTCGTACAGCAGAACTTCTAGTCGTGCTCATTCACATAGGATTCGTCAGATGCTTGATTCCGGCTTGGTGTATATGTGGAGGGAACGCTCATTGCAGTCGCTAGATACCTGTAGCCGTCGCGATGAAAGTCAGGATAATAATGCTCGTCCACTCGATCTACAGGACGTTCAGGTTGGTTCCCTGCTCTTTTTGTACGTAATTTTTATCCATCAAACAGACATCTTCTCGGGATAACTAACTTAGAAGAACATATGATCAGGACAAAATGAAATAGATAGCACGAATACGACCAATGAGAGTAGCATGCTTTGTTGCTTCAGATACTTCTATAGAAGACGAATTTTACCTTCGTACTTCAATCCAGTATAGTCGAAAACTAAAGACATCGCTGACGAAAACTAGTTTGACCGAAAACGGTAATTATAGTGGAGTAAGCTCGTTATGCTCGCCCGAAGGGTAACTTCTTAAACTAATAAGAAAATAATAAAACGATAGTATTTATGCTATTGACAGATTAACTTCCATTCAAATGTTATTTGCAGGGTCTGTTTTACATGCTGATTCTACTCCTAAGCTTTGATTTGCTGCTTCTGTTAGCGGAGTTGGCAGTGAGCTTATTGTGTTTCTGCATACGAAAGAAGGCCATAGCAGTCCCCTGCCTCGAAAATGTTTTGCCCGACTTCATTTTCAAAACGAAAAACAATAACGATAGATTTCATAAGATTGTGTTCGTAAAAAGACATTATACATGAATAGAGGATCTGTCATTTAAGGTGTGATAGTGAGAGATAAACGCGTAAATGTGTAATAAAGAACATGTAAAAAGAAGTGATGTGTAAATTCAGTATTATCCCTTGAAGATAAAGCTACTGTCAAACGCTATAACTTATTGCACATTTCAACTAGGTATTTCAGTAAATGTCTGCTAGATGAAGATAGCGGTTTACTTCTTATTTTCTAAAAAAAAAAAAAATTACCTTTGTTGGAATCCTAGCGTATTATTAGGTGAAGACGGTTTATATTGTAATTCTAGTGCTTAAAATTAACGTGACTGATAAATATCCCGAGTTAGTTTTCTTTTATCGATATATGATTGAACTGTTTGGAGGGTTCTTGTTTTAACTGTGGCGGTTTATGGAAATTATCATAATAGCATAGGGTAGTAAAAAGATATAACGTTTTAGGCACGCAATCACCAACAATGAGAATTAATTATATTTCCATGTAACTAATTCCCACTAGTAATAGTTTCGACCAACAGTCTATTGCCTGATAGGGGACAAAAGCTTGTATCGACATAGGTACACAATTACTCATAACATTGAAGATTCTATCATGGCGTCCATAGCTTAACTACACCTGGATTGCTGTTTGGAACATTCAATAAGACAGGCAATTATGACCAATAGACTATCTAAACGTAACATTGTGGCCAAACGGCCTGTCCCAAGGCCGACTTCCCCTAACCCTTTTTTTCGTCATTTCCCATTTACAAAAGCACTACCAACGTTCGGCAACGAGATAAGTGCATCCACCCCCCTTAGACGAAACGATTGCGAGAAATTAAACTCACAAGTATATAAAATATGCTAATTTAAATCATACAGGTTTAACCAGCAGTTAATCAGAAGCCAATTAGAAGTATCCTGAAAATTAAACGTATTATTATTACTTTACCCGCTTCATGTGACAGTGTTATTTCGCAGAATAGGGTTAGAACATATCCAGATACGATTTTCTTAAATTGCAGTACAAAACAAAATACTCTCTTGAAAAACTATTAGCAGTAACAATTGAGTGCTTATTTAAACGAATTTCACGTTTGGTACTGCCGTACTTTTACCTACTGCCAGTACCTATCACACACCTTTTCAACCTGTCTCGACTTCTAGAGGAGCAACGTTTCGTACCCGCGGGAAGCGTTATGACTAAATTAGAAACATGCACAATGACGCCTTACAATTAAATATTGTCCGTACATCGTCACAGGTAGTAGTCTGGTGAGAGTCTGATTTTCGGACTAAGAAACAAGTCCGAAAACCTAACAATATGTCTCTACATCTACGTACTGCTACCCGATAGTCCACAAACTGTACTATAATGCCCAATAATAGGTGCATGACTATTGCGAACCAGTAGGATGGCACTGGGCTAAGCGTAAGTCAACAAATATCACGATCGAGTCATCGATTATGCGCTGCCGAGATGAGTAACCGTCTGTTGCTAGAGCCAAAACGTGCCCTGTCGTTTGGAGTAGATATACGTTTATAGTGTGATACAAACATGTTCTTCACGACTGATGATTTCGTGTGCTTCACTGACTTGTGAAGTTCGAACAGTAGTAAAGCACTATTCTCTCGTTTCGTTTGTGTCTTTTCTAGCGGAACGTCGATCCGTTTTGTCGGGCGACGTTAATTTTCAGTAGACGAGGAGTCGCGCTGGTCGAGTTGGTTACGATATATGCGTTACAGCAAGTGATAATGCTAGATAGATCTCTTTATATATCGACAAGCACATAATTAAATTTTGACAATTTACTTTGGCAATTGTATAGTTTTAGATTTTCAGTCCCAGAAATCATCTTACTCGTTTCTCGGGTGGTGGGCCTCCCATCGAATGTCTAAAGTTCCTAATCACATGGGATTACAGGGTACGAGAGCTGTCACTAAATAGAGGGGCGTTTCTATTTAGTCAGTAAAATTCAAACCCATAATACCGGGAACATAGTAGAACAATGATTTCGTGCATTGTTCATTTGAACTTCACTTAATTCGAAGCGACAGTGCCGGAAGCGTGTAGGCAATATACGTTTTGACTGGACTCGATGCGGAGTTGTAGGTAAGCCTTTAGCTTGTGCTTGCTACCGGAAATATGCACGCACAACGTCAACTGAAGTTTTTACACGTCAGTCTCAAGCGGACGTACCATGCCTAATTGACTGTCATAAATCACCGTTACTGCTCCGATCTCCTACTTTTGCAGAGCGGATTATACACCACTCAAAGCTGAAGCAGGTTCCGTAGCATCCGTTGTTTCGCTTCGTGTCACGGTGATCCAGTGAAAACAGCTTTATTCGCGGTCAACACCTTGTCGTCCACTGTTCTTGGCTTATTTAAATGTAGGACTCGTTCGGTGTATCAAAAGAAATAATTCAGGCCTTTGCCTTTGGTGCCGGTAAATTCATTATCATCACGTACATGCCAACAAGTGCACCTAAAACAAGTAGCTTTAATAGTACAATACATGAATCTCTCTCTCGTTTTGCGTATTGCTATTAAATGCAATATAAAACTGACCGCAGTTTTACGTGGATGACTTGCGAAGATCATGCACTGTCAATAGCAATTCCGCCGTTTGTCGTTGTCTAGTAATAATACTCATACTATTAGAGCTTTGCCTTAGCTTCCTTTTATATTGTATATTCGTTCGTTCACCACCGACATAGAGAGCTGTACTTCGTGTGACTGTACAGTTAAGACGCTAGATGACATAGAGGGTGGCGATAGACGCACTATTTCTTTGGTCGAATCGAACAAAAAGTCTATGGAAGGGCCACGGCCTGAAGGATCGATGTTATTGTAGATCGTAGTTTATGCCACGGTACCAAGCACTAATGAATGGACAAACCGCATTCCTGGTCATTATTTTTACTGCGAATTTTACATGAAGCCTCGAGATCACAAATTTGAGCAACACGGACAATTATTGAGAGCTGATTAATATACGAAATGTATCAACTTGAAGTCAGTGGCAGCTTAATTTTCTAAGCGTATCTTAAAAAAAAATAAAATTGTTATTGGACGTAGTACACAAGCGCCATAGCTAGCTCTTTGGACAGGATAATGCCGTGCGAATTAAAGCGAAAATAAAGGCCCGTTAACTTATCTAAAGAAATGTTATTCACAGTAGCTTAATGTGTCTAGTACACTGTAACGTAAGACCTTGATGCGGATAACTTCGGGTAACTTAACCTTCGGGCAAAAGCCACAATATTTAAATGAACCATAAGATTGTAACGAACAACATCATTGCCATTTTAGTCTTCTTCAGCACTCCAGAAGACTTGGCCCATTCCGAATTCTGCCAGACGAGAGCCCTAATTGATGAAGCGATGAAAGCGATGATTTGACCTAGTAAGCATGAACTAATAAGAAAGCAGTTGACACCTTCGAATATCGTCTATGCAGAACACAGGGGTTTCATAAACGTGATGAAGATTTTATAGGTAATCTCGTGTACATTTATGATGTTTTTCGTTGTTTAAAAGTTTAGTTGCTAGCCAGCCTAGCCAGGGGTTAACAAGGTGCAATTATTGGTAGGCCCAAAGCAATTAACTTTGGGCCAACCGTTGCGAATATCGTCTCATGACCTTCCCGCGAAGCCCGTCTTATAAAGTCTTGTGTGCAGTGTACTATAACGTATGAAGTTTATTACGCCATGTTGTTATAAATGTCGTATTTCAAGTGTCTTTATGATACCTAAAAAAGGTGACCCAGTGATCTCGATTGACTTATTAGTTGTTAACATATCATCATTCTACTGCTAGGCGCTACCGGAAAGCCTTAGCATTGAAAAGATGTCTCTGAATCTAAAAGTAGATTTGTCCGCCGACAAACAATTGACAAAAATATTCGTGATGTATTTACCAGGTTCGTACCACATAATAAATGAAGATACGAAGCCCTACCCTACGGCGCAGCCACGCCGGCCCATCGAAGTTCAGTGAGGAATTTTGAGCCAAGGCCATGGACGACCTAAATACTTCTTTAACCACGTTCTAGTAAATGAAGTTTTCATATTAGCGTAATCAATGGCTTAGTTATGAAGCCTGGTAAAAAAAATTCAACGAATAAATTTTACTGCCGCATATTTCACACAGTGCCGACCGTCTGACCATGCAGTAGCTCATAAATGCACAAGAAGGTCGTATGACGTCCCTCACAGAAATGGGCTTCCGACAAACAAATTATTTAGTACAAAACTGCGTCAGATCCGACAGAACGACTGCTAAATTTTATATTAGTGCCATTAAACTTTGATCCTAACGTTTTCTCTATCAAAGCAATTTATAAGTAACAATTACACCACTTATGTGCATAAGGAAGCCCTTTCATGTGTCGAATTTATTATGTCGAAGAATAAAATGCAAATTTGTATATACCAGGATATTGTTTTGGCGGAATTCCAAAAGCAGTTGCAGATAATACCTTAAATTGTCTCGCGGCCGTCAGTGAAGAGCTCAAGGCTGCAGCTTTTTAGCGTAGTTTGATGATAATGATTATGCAGCATCGATAGCTATCTAACAGCTGAAAGAAAGGTTAAACTAGCCACCAAAAATCTCACCTTTTTGCGCTTTGTTAGGACACAAAATCGGAGAGAGGTTTAAGGAAACCTTAATAGAGCAGATCTCCATAAAGCCTTGTTTTTCTGAACACAAATTCGAAGAGACATATGAGAAGCTACGTCCAGCATCGCTCATTATGCGGACGGCTTTAATGATCCTTCAATGAGGAAGCGATGAAGGGGAGATGGCAACTGATGCTGTACAAAAGTAAAAGGCTGTAGATGACTTACTGGAAAGTCTTGTTGACTCTGCAATACTGGTTTTTAGGATCTTGACCTTTATAGCGCTGAAAAAGACAGACAAAGTAAAAGACTCCTGTGTAGAAACATCCGCGTGGAAATTAAAATGCTGGCCTGAAACATCGGAGGTAAAACTAGAAATCGCAGACTGGTAGTGAAAGAGATTTAT